AACATTCTCTCTTCAAATCCTCCTCCTAAACTGTTAGGTAGCTGATGGGCCCCTAAGAGGCTTGAGGATAGAGAGGCTGCCGTATAACAGCTGAGTACATGCTCTACAAGGACAGCTCCCATGGCGGCCAGCACATGTTCTATTCAAACTACATCCTCCTGTGACACTCTCTCAGACAGATGGCTGAGGGACAGCTGGATGGCATATGAGCATAGATATTTAAAGCATGTAAAATACGCGACTGCTCCTATCAGCAGCTACTAGAGCTAAACACCGCGGATTCATCATTTATTGGAACTGATGGCAACGGCGATGTGATGACGATCTTGTCAAAAGCTTCTCCCAGACACATCGTATGTAACAAGTGTTTGTAATTCCCTCCCTGAATTTGAGCATCATTTTTAAGATTTTTTGTGCAGTTTGGGACATTTCAGCCAGTCACATCTGCTTTCTCTAAAACACAAGAAATCACACAAAACACTAACAGTCATTTTGTGATCTAGATGTCTGCGCAGTCAGCCAATAAACACATGCTCAGTTGCTGCATTATGGAATGTGTGTTTTTAACATGCTCTATGCAGAGACTTATTGCATCAGAGGAGCGCTGTTTTGCAATATGCCTCATACAGTAGAGCAAAAAGAGCCGGGCCATGATACCCTGCTGCCCGTTTATTGTATTAAAAAAACAAAAACAAAACAAAATGGGCACTCTAATCTGTCTACTTGGTATAGGAGCGTAATCTCTTTCTCTGTCTTTTTCTTTTTCTAACACACTCTCAAATACACACATGTGCAGCTCCAGACAGTTCAGATGAGACTTGTCACATCCGTTGACATAGGGCCCAATTAAAGGGGAGGATTACGCCAGGGCTGGGTGACCTCTTCAGGAATCTCTCTGACACGCTGTGTGTACACTGTCAAAGCCTCTGACAGACCTTCCCTTTAAGCACTTTCACCTGCTAATTAAGACGCAGGACTGTATGTGTGTGTTCATGTACATCTGTGTAACTTGTGTGTGTGTGTGTGTGTTGCGATAGATTTGCAGCCCGAGAAGCTTCTCTGTAAATATTTGACTTGAGCACCGTATGGCTTTCTGGAGCTCACTCCAGCACACGTCAGTACGCGGGCCACAGCGCAGAGATAGGCAGTGTCATTTATAACATTAAAGTATAATATATTTTGGTGTGTGCATCTCGTTGCTGTGTGTAGAGGCTCCTTCGCAACAAAAGCTAAGCAGTGTTTATGGTGTGAAGAGATTAAAATGGATAGCGGCGAGGCAGAAGCAGTGAGCTGTTGCTGGACAAAGCTCTCAATGACTGATTAGTGCAGTTTTTACACAATGTGGAGAAAAGGCCAGTAGCAGGCACACACTTCTTTTTTGGTATTCTTATTATTTACAGTAGCAAACTGGAAAGTGGCAGGGTAGGAAATTGGTAGATATTTTAAGGGAATAATAGCTCAAGGACAAAGTCGAGCCGGAGATGGGGCTCATAGGATAAACAAGGTAGAATGAAAAGGTTTTAAAAAAAAATGGATAGAAGAAGACTTGAGATCAAATGGCAGAACTGCAAAAAAGTCCATTCTATGAAAAAGCAAAATATATTTTGTAATCTAAAGAGAAATGCAAAAACGCAATCTAGCATAGATGAAACATTATCTGACCTCAAAGCTAATATATTGATTTGATAAAAGACAGGCTTCAGAAATCCATAGAAAAGGTTAAAGGTGAATTCTTAAAACATGAATTCTTCTGCATACCTGACAGGGGAGGGATTCAGCAGGGGGATAAAACACACACAGATTCATACTATCCCTTGCCCACTTGCCCACTACACCCCCTCTGTGCAGGCATTTATCACCAGGAACTAAATCTTGGTCTCTGGAGTCAAACCTTAAAAAAACATTCAGTTTACATGCACAGTCACATTTTTTCCACAGAGCCTCTAAAAAAAGGATTCCTCAACTTCTTTCAAGAATCTTCTAGAGAAAGCACCAGTGCAGCAATCTGCCTTAAATCCAAGTAAGGTTTAAATCTAAATATAAAATGATTATTATTAAAGGAGTAACAATTGACCCTTCGCTAGGCCCCAAATACACAACTGGCCAATCACAGCACAGTATAGGACTCGCTCCAACTAAGGTCCGACACTTTCACGGCTGCGCTCCATTGACTGTAATGCAAAAGGAATCGTTTTCTAGCTTTTTTAGGCTGTACTTTTCTAAGTTATGGTCAAACACTGTTCCTGGGCACTTGTAATAGTTACAGTCGCTACCCAGAGAGGTTGAAAGTTCGATTTATTCCCTTTCCAAAAACTAAAATCAATCCAGAAAAAAGCAGGCTCTGTATTGTTCCTAATGTAATGTTAGTTAGCTAACCCTAGCTACTGAATGTAAAGTTATATAGCCCTACTGTTCTGCTTTGTAATGATTGTAATATTAAACAGACCTACCCAGCTGTATAGGAAAAGTTTTGATCCTTAATATCGTTGTCCTCTTTCTCAATCGTCAGGTAATACGGTGGCTCACTTTTACTGTGTGATCAGTAGGATTTGGCTTCTGTCTTTCATTTTTTTCACGTCAGTTTGATAGCAACTGCAAAACTGTCTGCTTCTTTCTGAGATCGCTTTTTCCAGAAATTGGACAATATTTCTCCGGGGAGTGCAGTAATAGACAGTGGCAGTGCCGTGAAAAAAGTCTAGCAACTCCGACAGTTTGTCAGACTTAGCAACAGTAACTAAGGGGGGCGTGGCTTAGCGAAGGGTCAATTGTGATGTTGTGGTATGCATAGCATTAATCTTGATTCTCGGAATAAGCAAAGCAACCTAGCTTTCTTTCAAAGGAAAAGGTCAGCATGAAATACTCTAATTAGCTTCCCAGTGAGACAATAAGAAGGTTCATTCCACTCTCATGACATGTGCTGAAAGACATTAGCCTAGCTTTGCCTAAAGACTGGAAGCAGGCAGACAACAGCTAGCCTGGCTCTGTTAAAAGTTAAAAGGTCTGCCTACCAGCACCTCCAGGGACTTTATTTCACCATTTAGCCTCCCCATATATTCAGCTGTAACCATTGATCCCTTTAATCAGGGTTTAGTGAGACAGTAGCCCTCTGGAACAACAGCCATCACAGACTTTGACACCTGCTGTGTAACACAAACTAAGACACATAAATGACATTCCCACAACATTCTTACTGTGTTGGATATCGAGATTTCTTCTAATGTTTTTCTTGTGTAGGTTCTAGTGTGCCTATTTTTAAGCATTGCGTCACGTTCCGCATTATGTTCAAATCAAGCTTGTGAATGAACAACTGCACAGAGAGCCTTGACGTGTCCAGCTGACATCCTGTGTTGATGGACGTTTAGGAGGCTCTGCGATGTACAGGAGCTGCAGTTGGCTAACGCCGCCCCCCGAGGAGAGCGGGCACAGAGCTTAGTTCAACTCTGACAAAAGTGCGCCTGGTATGTGGGAGCTGGAGGAAGGGATGCCTTGTTGAATACAGCCTGGAGGATCTTCTATCACACTGCTGATAAGATTAACCTCCTGCCTCTCGGGCTGCTGGGTGACTGACTACGCTCCACTGATCACTTATCGGAGTGTACATCGATGTATGGAAGTGTAAAAAGACCACATTCAACTTAGATGGGTTTGCACAGAATGATGCTTTCATATGCAGCTATGAGAGCTTTCACCAATAATGCAGTCTTTATCATAAACCAAACATCTATTAATGCAAGCAAAAATCATGTATATTAAAGAAAGCCAGAATATATCTTATACCCTCTCATAGGGCTATCACAGATATTGATGCAATGCAGCAGTGGCATGCCTTTCTAATAAAATTGATATAGCTACATGTTAGCAAACAGTTACATATTTACACATTAAGAAGACAACATTTGCCTTCATTTAGAGTTGTGTTCATGTCCACATGATAAAGACAAACATTATTTCACATTTAGCTCTGTTTTTGTCTCTATGTGGAAACTCTCTTTAGCTGTTCCGCTATGTATACCCGCTACTTGGTAATGTTGTCTGTTGTTTGGGGCTGGGCAGGTAGTGCACAGTGGCAATGGGTTCAGATCCTTTTCACTGAAACTGATGAAAAAGTGTGGGACTGAACCAATGCGTTAAAGTCGCAGGCCCTACAACCAAATCAATGAGCAGAAAGATGCTAAAATGCTTCATAGAGCTGAGGGGAACCGCAAGGTTGTTGGATAATTTTTCTCTGTAGCTTTGTCACTACAAGTGACACCTTTCAGATTACATTACATAGTGCTTTCATTTGTTGTTTATATAGGTATTAGTGCAGTTTCAAATGGAGTAATCTGACCAATTTAAATGTACTCCAAAGTTAGAAGGTTATGATTTAGATCAGGAAAATATCTGTTCAGAGTAAATAAGTCTGAGAATCTGACTTAATACTGGATGCCAACTTTTCATACTTTCACACAGAAACATTTAGTTTGGTGCTCAAAGGAGATTGTCTGATACCCAGCCTATCTTCCAGTCTGATTCTTCTACTTGTACTACATTCAAGTCAGAAGCTCAGTATCACTTCACTTTAATGGCCGCACGACCAGTTGGTGGAATTTGTTTCCGGTAAAGCATGGAAATAAAACTTAGTGCACACCATATGTTATTTCCAAGGTAGTTAGATGTGGGGTGACATGTTATTTTCCATCAGCTGTCAAGGCAAGAAGTGAAACTTGTTGCTGTCCCTGCTTTTCCCACATTCTCCCTCCTGGCTGCACTGCTGCTCCACTATCAGCGTCTGTGTCTCTATCTTGATCTTTCTTTTCCTATCTAGCTCTCCCTCTCTCCTCTCTAATGACAGTCAGTAGGGCTGATAGGCAGATATATTTACACTGGTGGCAAGGGAGGAAGAAGTCATCAGCCAAACCCTGTCCAGCCTCTGGCAGGCGGGGCTTAGAGGAAACCCTGGCTGTAAGCCCCTCCCCCGAGCAGGGCATATCTCTCTGTGCTGTCCCCTGGCCCTGCTCAGAGCTCTCAGCTAGATGGGACCAAATCTTCACTGGCCTGCAGACTCACACACTCTCACATTAGCCCCTGGGGGAGAGAGAGCAGAGAAGAAGGAGGAAGGAACAGAAAGCAGCACACGGAGAGCAGGAGGCTGCTGCTGGTGTGCACACTGGCCGAGAGAGTGTTCTTTTTGCTTCCACTAGTTTTCTTCAACAGCTGTTGATGAGTCAGGCTGGGTCAGCTCCATCTCATCTCAGTGTGGCGCCCAGAGGTGGCCAGGGGAGTCGAAGTGTGTACCGCTTCTCGAGTGTGCGTGACTTTTTTTTGCAACTGTTGAACACTGGAACTGTACTCTCAGCATTATGACTCTTCTGGGCTCTGAACACTCCATACTAATACGAAGCAAGTTTAGATCAGGTAAGTCAGATCCTGTGTCTGTGTGTGCACTTCATGTTTATTAGCGAAGAGTTTCTGAGTACGGCTGTTTTTTCCCACGAGCCTTGCAAACAGTTTGTCTGTCAACACTTGGCATTTATAGGCAATCTCGTCATTCATCTGTCCTCACGGATGAGTTGTGTTGACACTCACAATTTGCTCTTCAGTAACACCAGCAGACTGACAGGTGTGTGTAATATACTGCGGGCATGTGACGGTACGAGGAATACCAGAGGGATGCCAGCATAAGTCAGAAATCCTCCCGAGTAGTGAGCCCTAATGATGCGCAGTGTTACAGTGTGATGGATTTACAGCTGGGTGTGTTCTTTGATGTTCATCTGCCTCCTCATAAAAGCGCGACATGTGAGGGTGATGTCCCGGACAGGTTAGTGCACTTGTTCCGTGCCAGACGGAAGCCCGTGGGACGCTCTCACTCTGTGGCTCTGTGCACGCTGATAAAGGGAGATTAGTTGCTGGAGAGGGGTCAGAGGTTATCTTAATATGACTGATTGTGCTTGTGTGTGTGTATGTGTGGGTACCTGGGCATATCAAATAAGGAGGAAGGGTTGGTGCTGATTTAAGCTCCACTTAACTTAAGCTTTGTATTCATCCATCTCCCTCACATGCACACACACTCTTGCTTTCTCCTTCACACACACACACACACACACTTTCTTAGTAACTGTCTTTGTTTTGAAGATATTTTCTGTGAGGCTGAGCATGTGTGTTTGCGCTGCGCTACCACAGTGTGCGTACTCTGACCAACACTGCCACCTCCCTGAGGAAAATGTAACTGATGGTGGCAGCGACAGAGCTCATATCTTGCTCTGCTCTGCTCTGCAAAGCTCGACGTACATGATCAGCTCTGCAAGCGACACTTCACTCTGCTGTGAACATACAAGCTGGTGGCCAGAGTGGCTTCAGTCCTTTGCCTGTGAGCTGTAATTGCGTTCCAGTAAAATGGCTGGGTAAATGATTCTTTTCCTCTGAGTTGTTTAGAGCAGATTGGCAGGGTGGGAATGACCCCCGGCACTCCGGGGAACATGAGAGGGTGGATGGCTGTGTTCAAAAGCAGCAGCAGGAGGATTTGCACCGAGGTGGCTCGGGTCCTGTGTTGTTCTAACCCTCGTGCTCTAGCTGGTTAATATGGCACAGATGATAACCGCCCTAAAGGTCATCTTCCTACAAGTCTGCTTGATGTTACAGTCGGAGGGATTAATGTGCGTGAGTGAAATATTGAGCGTAAGAGAAGTAAAACTGCCTGTAAATCTCTCTGTGATAGCCGCTGATCTGAGCTGTTCTGCTTGTCCAGGATTTACAGTTTCTTTAAGCTGCAGCAGCTTGAGTTACATTCAGCGCCCCATGAAAACCAGCAATTGTTGCTCCTTCAGCGTCACGCTTGAACTACATTATCAAAGCCATGGGAATTGCTGCCGCATGGTTGAAGCTAAAAGGAAAGATAAAGATCTCACTTAAGCACTCCCCGCGGACTTGCTCAGTGTTTTGTGAGTGTGTGTGTGTGTGTGTGTGTTACTGACCAGTTCTCATGACGATTTGATTAACAGCTCAAAGGGCTGTGGCCCGTGCTCTCAACCTTACTGCAGTGTGACAGAGGCGTCAAATATAAGTTAAATCAATACTTGGAGGTATCAACCACAGGTTGAATTATAAATTCGCCCCACAGACAGGCCCTGTCTACACTAAACACCTGTTTTGTATCAGCTACCACACCCAATCCAGAATTTATGGAACATAATGCTGGATGTTTTCACCTGAAAAATATGAAACATATTTAGGTGTTTTTGAAACTACTGGTGATTTGGTTGATGATGAATCTGCTGTAACTGAGCTATGGTTGGGCTCTAAGCTAACGTACAATGGAGAAAACTAGCGAGCCATGATATGAGAAATCATGTTTGGATCGGACACTTCAGTGAGAAAAATCATGTTTAAAAGTGAGACTTAAAATGCAACTACCCTACTGCAACATTAGCCTGTCACTCAAGTGAGGAACAGAACGGAACGCAGTTTAGGACTAGGCTAGCGAGTTGTGGATGAATTCATTCGAAGTAATTACGTCAGATTGATTTCCTTCAAACTTCAGCTGAACTGTGAGGGCTGTTATCTTGTGCATTGCATAGAATAAAACAGCTTGTGAGGCCAAATAAATGTTACTCCAATGAGTCCTGGTAGATTCCATATTCCTGCTAGGCCTAATATTTCTGGCAAAACTGATAACAATTAATAATATGAGAGACAAAACCTAGTCACCCTCCACTGACAATGAATGACACTCTGGCAACAGATAAAAAAGCACTCAGCTGTGGAATGGGTTGGCTTTGCGCTCAAGTGAGTTTTTTTTTTCATCTTCAACACAAATCTGCATCACCCTACTATCCCACTGTTGACTATAAGTCACTGTCGGTGGAGTTGCTCCAGAAAGTTCCATCTTAATGGTGGAGTGTTAGCTCTTCTGCGTCTGGCATCTGGCCTCTAACTGTCCAAGACCACAGAAATAAAATATCAAAGTTCTGTTTTAAGGTGGATTTCCACTTTATGCAGAGGTATTAGACTAAAATAAACCTAATACTTCATTTAGGAATACCTGTTTATTAGAAGTTATACAGTCACGCTCATACATCTGTCGCGAACACATTCCTACTTGTGCTGAGGGAAAGTTCAGGAGTATTCATGGAACAAATGCATGTCTCTTGAGCTAGGTTGTTGGAGTTGTAAGTGTAAAAGTGGGGTGTTATTATTAGCCTGTTTCTTTCTGGTGTGGTGGCTGTGCATGTGTGAGGCACAGGGGGACAATAAATCTGTGTATCACCCCACTGGCTTGTGTAATTATCGCCACTCCACCAGCGCGAACCAGGCCAAATGATCACTTATTTACACTATAAATCTGAAAACGTGTAAATGTGGCTGTGGATTTGTATGTCCTTTGTTGTCAAGAAAGCCCAAGTTAAAACAAATGTCTTCATTTTCAGAGTCAACAGTGAGGGAGGCAGAGTATCGTATGGTTCAGTGATCTGTGATTACACAGCCTGGCTCGGGTCCTCTTGCTATAACATGTACACGCTCCAATCAGGACAGAAAACCTTCTGGTTTTAGCGAAGCTTTTCAGGAGAAAGAGCAGATTATATGACAGCTGCTGGGCTTTTCCAGACAGAATTATTGATAACCCTTTCTGCAAACATAATACAGAGCAGTGACGAGCCGTCCCTCGAGTTAAAATCAAACAGTTATAGTTAATTCTCACATTGCTCTTTCCATGACTGAAGAGACAAAACCTGTGTGTATGGATAAAAGTAAGGCTTAAATGATAGATGACTTAAAATACAGTGGAGGCACAAAAAACTAAATAAAGGGAAGATTGCTAGATCTACACGTAGTTTAAGCTCAAATTTGTTCAAACGTTTTGAAGTGTCAGGCCTACCTGTTGCAAAGCAAAGCTGTAAAAATGTAATTGAGAGGTTTTTTAAAAGAAAGAGGAGATAATGTAGCAGCTGCTGTGACTTTATGAGAGAATTATCATATTACTATAACATTACCATTACACAGTACAGACTCAACAGCTACATTCCATTTGTCACCTTGCTTTCTACATGACAGAAGAGATCAAACCTGCATGTACCGTATGTGTGCCTGAATACATGGCTGAGTGTTCAATATTGTAGGGGATGACAACAAACTTCCCTTAGTCAGAGGTTGTATCAGTTACATGTTTTGATCAGCTTTCAGTCAGCATCTAATGCCTGCGCTTGCTTTCTGTGATGTTGCGACCAGCAGGTCACGACCCGCTCACTGTAAACTAAAGCAGATGTGAGATGAAGGGAAGGGCCTGGTGTTACATAATGGAGGTGCTCTCCCACGAGAGCCTTGCGATGTGGCACCCGACCCGAGCTCATCAACACTGAGTCAAACTATTAACAAAGAAGTGGTTACAGCAAAGCGGGATGGCTTGATGCAATTCATAAAAATGCTGAAATGTAGCCAAATCTGCACGAATATGAACCACCTGAGGGAGATAATTAACAATATAGAAGATAAGAAGAAAGTGATTAGGGCCTCGCAGAAAAGGAGGAACATTTCATACTTGTGTGTCGGATCCAGGATCTCACCGAGAGACCTTCAGATAACAGCGAGGAGGAAAAACACACAGCAAAGAAAGCAAAAAAGCTACAGACACAAGCAGACCAACAGACATGGGGGAGGCTCTATGTTTATGACCCCGCACTCCCACCTAGACCACTTCTGCACACACACACACACACACACACACACACATGCACAGAGCACGCAGAAACGTACGCACATGCTGCGGACCACACACTGCCTAGCAGATCTGTTTAAAAGCCAGGAGCTGTGTTTATCATTCCCTACATCCTGCTCACAGAAATATTTGTCAGCAAGCAGGGTTGTTTTTTTTTTCTGTTTTCTGTATGTATATGTATGTACAGATACATATGCACATGTGCATGTGCGTCTGCTCAATCCCTAGAAATTGACATAAGTAGCTTTTTTCTTTTCAGCCTGATTTGAATATTATTCTAAATCAAGCTACAAGTTAGAATTCTGAAACCGTATTAAAAGTGGGTTGAATTCTCAGTCTCTTCCTGCTTTTTGCCTGTCCCTTACCTGTCTTTCCACATGTCTTTCTCATCTTTCCCCCGTCTTTTTACTCTTCCCCTTCACCTATCGTCCCCTCTTCCCTCCAACTTCAGTCCTACAGTTAAGACTTCAACAGAGGAGGACACGAGAGCAGCTGGCAGACCACGGCATCATGCCTCGTGAGTAACGCCTTCCAGCACTGAGCTGCCGCACATGCAGACGCACGCGCACGCACACACACACACACACACACACACACACACGCACACACACACACTCTTCCACTTACATGCTTTCAGTCTGCAGGGTGAGTAAAATAGACAGAGAGAGAGAAAGGGTGAGAGACCCAATGAACAAGCAAGGGAACACACCATCCTTTGGTCCAATTAGGAATAATATGCAGCTGACATAAAAACATATTTTCTCACTTACCTGTTGTCTAGCCATGCAGATAGTTTTGGTTTTATTTGTCCTAGTTTTGAAATGTTTGCCTCCACCTCATTGCAGTGGTAAGCAAAATGCTGTTTGGAATGCTCAACACATTAACAAAATACCACTACTCTGCATGATCCGCAGAACATGCTGGGAACAGTTGTTAAGGGAACTACTTTTTACTAAAGAAATAGCCCCTACAGAAACAGTTTATTGTAATAATAATGTTTTAGCAGTGAGACGTTGTTGTTCTTTTTTATTTTATGTAATTTTTTCAGTTCACTGAGCAACACAACCAAAATCCTATTCACCTCCCTTGTATTGTGGTATAACCTCTCTTCATGATTAGATCCTAGATGCTAGGTCATTGTACTTGACTGATACTGTTTTCTTCTTTAAATTTGACCATATTGTCCCATATTGGTTAAAGTGATAATAATTACTTTTATTGGCCACTTGGGGGCAGTGGAAAAAGCTGTAAACACAACACTGACATCACCTTACAAAGTGGATATGGCTAACATGGTAGCAAACAGTTGCCGATTGACACACCCAGCAGACACAGAGAAACATTAGCATGCATTTGACGTTGTTTGTCTGTCCACCTGGTGATTTTAAGTCCAATAATCATTCTTGTTTTACCTCTGTCTCCACCAGAAAAAATATTTAGCTGCTAAATGCTTCACCAACTAGTCGCTAACATTGTCTGTTTGGTGCTGGGTATGTTGGTTTACTAAACTCATAGCTGCCTGCTGTGTCTGGAAAGCCACTTCAAATCTTTTAATACAGTGACAAATATACTATTGTGTGTGTTGACGGTTTTGGAGAGAAGGTCGCAACATCTAGCGCAGTGTGGGAAATATGAATATGACATTTTCAAATGTGCCCTTTAGTGGTAGGTCACCTTGGCTCAATCAGTACTATAAAATCTTGGAAAGCAGTTGTGAGAAGCATCATTTCCCCCAGTTTCACATGAATCGGATCATTGAGTCTGACATGTTGCATTTCATTTAAAAAGAAAAGAGAAAAGAAATGTTTGATTTGTGGTTATCTACTGCAGTTTTGGAATGAAACAATACAGTCAGATGCCAGCTGCTTGTGAACGAACAAACAGGGAAAAGAGAGAAAGAAAGGTGGAGGGGGAGGAAAAGTGTAGCTCAGGAATCAGCAGATGATTTCACCGATGAACTTTAACCAGAAAGAGGGAACCAATCAGTGAAATCGGCTGGTGTAGTCACTTTTTGAAATCAAAGTGATTGGAGTGGAGAGCTACAGATTCTTGATGTATTGTACAATTTTACACACACTACAGACTGTGACTGATGCACTTTCCTTACTGTAAAACAGTCTAGCCTGAGTCAAACTGTGTTAGAGCTGAGGTCAACGTGGAAACTCTTGTCTTAGAACAAAAGACTTACACTGCAAATTAAAGCATTAAAGACAGACAGAAACAGATAGGAAGAAAAGAAAACAGTTAGGATGATGGATGCTGTAAAGAGAAGCAGATCCAGACTCCAGAGACGGATAAATCCACAGGTAGTGACAGATACAAAGGTGGGCGTAGAGGAAGCAGGTGGATCTATGCCCCCGGCAGGCAGAGAGACAGGCAGGTAGTGCCTTAAGCCAGCGAGAAGGCAGACAGGTCGGTGAGTGACCGCCGAGGAATGCTCTCGTGCTGGAAGAGGCTCTCAGCCTCAGAAGAAACAGCGCACGCTCGGCCAGATTTACATCGACGGTACCTGTTTACAGCGCAGCGCCTGCGGAGCGCCACTTCAAAGCAGAGGCATGCCCAAACACAACAACATCGAGCATGAGCTGCTGTTTATAAGACAGAGGCTTTGTACTTTCAATGTCACATAAGACATAGTGATGAGAACAAGTAGACCTGAGTGTACTGAACATACTCTTAAATCCTTACTGTTGCTACGATTAACGGCCTGTCATGCTCTTTAGGTCATGGTACCACTGTAATGTTTGCAGCTATCTTGCTCAGCTTTGACTGCTTAACACTGCTGCCTACATGCCACAAATGTCACACACAGATAAATATTTTTGCTGGCACTGAACACACTGGTGGAAATAAAAATTTTAAACATTCATAAAAAACCAAAGGTTTGGTTAGCATGAGACACTACACAGCGGACAGCCACTTACAAACTAAGATCTTATCAATCCCTTATACTTTAAAGCAACAGTGTGTCGCCTTGGCAAACATGGAAGGAGTGAGCGATGCCAGCGGTTACTTGCCTGCAGGAACAACAAGGGGACTGGGGGACTGCGGGGCAGGGATTTGTTGAATCATATCTCTGGCACCGTTTGCCATTTCACAGAGGCTCCAGCCTCCAGATAAACTGCTGGTAAGTGTGCGGGGGAACGGAATCCAGAGGCCCAGCGAGGCCCTATCAGTTTCTAGGAGTCTGTCACAGATAAGGCAGCAAGGAGAAACGCAATTGGCTTAGCAGGGCTCCAAATGCTTTTTTGAGCAAGAAATTTCAATTGGTTGTTTATCTCTTGATTGCAGGCAGTGGCGCAGATGGAAGAGGGTTACATAGACTTGCATTTGTAAGAACACACTTTCTTACACCCACACAGTAGATGTTTAACAACTCTCTAAAGCGCCGGCGTCATTTCTCCTCCCAGCTCTTTATGTCAAAAAACGAAGACATTTTTCGGGGCGTCACAGCATCCTCCTCCTCCTCCTCCTCCTCCCTCCTCCTCCTCCTCCTCCCGCTGCTGTAGATGTGATCCGTCAGATGCTGGCTGGCTGTGTTATTCCTGCTGGGGAGATGGACACGGCACAGGGTCTGTGTATATATTACCCAGAGAACATCTGGTGTTTATTAGGCTATTCAAGAATCCACCCCAGCCTCTCAGGCTTGACTGGCGTGTGGCCTGCATAGGAGCACACTGTCTGCTTGCTAGCCACAGGTCTGCATACACACACACACACACACACACATACAAGCTAATATTTCCTCATAAAGATAACAGGGCTGTAGCTGCAGGTTTACTTACTTTTTCCTGCTTGCTTTTGTGCACAAAAACAGCCATTTTCAGTCCCTCAGCAGTGGCGCTTTAATCCTCAGTGGATGAAAACACAAAGGGAATTATTCCTGCCTAATGCACCATACGTCTTGCCTCTAAGTGCCGTGTTTACATTTGACAGAGACAGTCAGCAGGTACATGTATTGCAATAGGTTTAAAGTGTGTCGTATGTTTTAGGACTCCAGCAGAGTGTTTAAAACTCTGTAAGCCAGCTTCAGACTCACCCGATCATGTTACATTATGCCCGTGCGGGCCTGCGCAGCCGCGGTCGAACACGTTTTCAGGCAGTTCGCTCACACAGTTTAAACACACTTGAAGCTCCGTGTGTTCCTGCGATGTCAAATCAGGTCTTAAATCAGGCCAGTCAGTGACAGGTGAGGCAGGAGACTGGGTGGGAAGCTGAGTAATAAACTGTAGATGATGATGTCATCCTGCTGGCGAACGGTGGCGGTTCGCCAACATGACCACAGGCCGGCAGAGGATCCATTCCCACTTCTCCTCAGAGGAGGGGCACTGGATCCAGGCTGGCAGACAGGATCATTTGCTTCACCCACGGCCCTCCTTCACTGCTTTGCTACATCACTTTATCCCCCCTTCATTTCTAGCCTCCTTCTTCCTTCCAATCGTACCCTTTGTCTTCTTTTCTTCAATTTTTCCCTTTTCTACCAATAATATATAATTATGCTCCTTTTCGTGCTCCCTCCATTCTAATATCATTCTTTATTTTTTACTTGAATTAATTTGTCTTCCTTTTTTCTTTCCTTTTATTCTATATTTTCTTCCTTCGTCCCTTCATTTTTATTTCAACTTTAAATTTCTCTTCTTACTTACTTACATAATTTCTACCTCCACAACATTCTTCCTTCATTTTTTCCATCCATCCATTTTCTACCCGCTTATCCTGTTGTGGGGGGTCAGCATGCATTGCGGGACAAACTCATTTAGAATTTTCCAAAAACAACAGAAAAATGTCCTCCTTCATCTCATCTTTCAACCCATTCGTCCTCCCACCCTAATATTTCTTCTTCCTTCTGTATTTTCTTCCATCCATTCATCCTCCTTCAAAAACATACATTTCTTCTATCCTCTCAACCCCCCTCCGTTCTCTCGTCATCTATGTTTCATAGTGAATGATAGACGTCTAATTTGAATTTGAGATATATGAGCTAACTACTTGCTGTATCTGGAGATTAAAGGTGCTTAATATTGCACATTCATTTTGATGTCTCAATCATTTGTTAAGGTTTCTTGTGAAGTGTTACCTTTCAGATCCATTTTTCAGTAGACAGTAATACTCTACCCGAGTTGTCCAGCACGAAGCTCAATATCATTCATTTTATTTTGGCACTGTACCCTATCTCATCCTTCAGAAAGATCCCACTAAAATTATATTTGACCAAATAAGTGCTGTTGCTCCTTCTTGCCCTCAGATATTCAAACCGATGCGCTGCGCTCGCCTCACTGTTGGGTAATCAGTCCTGTGAGTGCCGTGGATAGATTGTAGGCCAAGACAGGTTAGCTCCGGCACAGATTATTTATACTGGATTTAAGCGAGGGAGGTTGTGGAAGGTTGAAAATCTCACCCGCTGCAGCCCTTTAATTACAGCCACTCCGTTTATTTTGCTAGGACTCAAAGTGTCTGGCTGTGCTGGGAGTGGAGCAGCTGAGCAGATATTAAAACGGATCCAAAACAGAAATATTGATTATTGAAGGTGGAGGGAAGTCATGTGTGTTTGTTAGGGAATGACAGCTGAATACAGCAGGGTTGAGCTGCAGAGATGAATAATATCAGGAGGATAAGATGAGACTAAGGACCTCACACAATATTTAGATTTCTCGAGTCTAGAATCTAGAGTCTTGATAGACAGCCCTATTGATTTCACTTGGAAACTTGTTGATTGTAGAGGAAAATAGGATGCAGAAAAGGATGGAACAAATCAAAATTTATAACAGAGCAAATTGGAGTAAAAACACAATTACAGCATATCATTTGAAATGAAAAGCAGGGACATATATGTCTTAAACATATGCATTTTTCATGTTTAAATGTTACTGCTTCATAAAAATACAGCATCCTTTTCACTGAAAAGCTTAGATTATGCCCAAAATGTAAGTGAATCTGTTGCGTGTTTATTCTAAATTTGAACTACAGTTCAAACATGGGGAAGGTAAAATATCCAATCTGTAATCATTCGTTCAAAATTATAGTTCTCAGTGTTTATTTCTCAGGGTGTACAGCGACGCAATTGAACGGAATCTGACTGAATTTCACCTGGTGAAATGTGCTCTTATGCTGAGGCAGGGCAGGCATAAAGCCTGGGCCAGGTTGTAATAGCAGTTTGCAAGTTCAAAATTATAAAATACTTTTTTAATTTATTTCCTAAAATACAGTTTGGTATAGCCATGTTGTCTTTAAAGATAAGGCTACATGATTTGTTTTTGGATTAATTTGAACAAATTATTCGTTCAAACTTTCTTGTTTGTGTGACAGCCCCAAAAGTATTAAACATAAAGTACTCATTTTGGCACACAAGGGTCCCTGTTAGTGTTTTGTTGTTGTATATTATATTATTGGATTATTATCACAGATGCATATTAATGTGTAAGCAGCAGCAACAATTGTTTTATCTGGTTAAAGTGGAGATCATTTAAGCTACTTATACTGTTTGGTAGTTTAATTTATAATATGACGTTACTAGTAACTGCAGCTGTGAGATAAATGTTGTGGAGTTAAAAGTCATTGTAATGGAGTAAAAAAATAAAATTGCTCTAAGTATCTTAAGGACAGTTCAAATGGACTTCTTTACTTTCTGCTGCTGCAGCATGTACAGACTTGTATAAGCAGTGTTTCCCTGGTGTGTCCCACGTCGTTGACGGTGTGGTCCTGCTGTGTGTTGTGTAGACCCGGCCTCAGACGGCTCCTCTCTAGAGGCCCAGATGAGGCTAAAGCGAGCCCGGCTCGCCGAGGACCTGAATGAGAAGCTGGCTCTCAGGCCGGGGCCCCTGGAGCTGGTCCAAAAGAATATCATTCCCCTAGACTCTGCCATCACAGTGACAGGTATCAGCAGAGAGATGATGCTGTGTAGTTGAACGCACCTTTAACGCCTGCTGCATCTCAACCTGCGTGACTCCACGTTTGTGTGTTTGGTAGTAGCATCAAGTAGTATTAATGAAAAGGAGAGCACTCTTCCTCCTGACTGTGTGTGTGTATGTGTGCGTGCGCGTGTATATTAACAAACCATTGTTGTCTTTGACTAAACAGTTCAAATCACTCTGGTGGAGATTTTAATCTCTTCAAACAAGCATGTACTTCAATGACTGCACTGCTGGACTTTCAACACAATCACGTCATTTTTTCAAACAAGCACCAACTAAAAGTATAATGTTTATTGTAGATCTTTTATGATCATTATGTTCCTCCACCACAAGAAGGCCTGTGACTGCAGCATGAATGGGACATTGCATTTAGCCCGTAGATGACTGAAGAACCACCAGATTTTGCATCTTAGACCCAAATCCTTAAAGTTTCCGTACTTCCTTACTTACTTCAATTTTATGAAACTCATTACAGGTCACATTATGAAAGTACGGGCACAATAATAAAACCAGGACATGCATCTTTGACTGAGTCGAGATAAAAAGCTCAATCTGAAGTTACAAGCTAAAACTTAAATGTTCAGACTACTGGCTTTATTAGTTTTTAATAAGAACCAATGTGTCCCTTTAGATGATTGGACACTGCAAAATCCATGCAGATTTGATGGATTATAAATGGTTTATCAATGACTTATCAACCCCAGGATAATTTATTACTGGATCACCAACATTTATACCTGCATTATAACCAAATTGAAAGAATAAAAACAACCCATGGGTTTTTTCACAACAAACCAAAATGAGTTCTTATTAATGGCTTATAGCTGATCAGTAAAGTATCAGAGTATCAAATTATTTATCAACCATTAATTCCTTTGTAAACCTTAAAGGATGACTTATTAGAAAGTGGTAGCAATCTAACTGAAATATTCACTCAACAAAGAAGTAATTCACAAGTCTTCACCTCTTGACCTCCCCACCTTTAAATTCTACTGAACTCCTTTCAGAACCTTGGTCCGTCTTTATGTGATCCAAATTTCTTAGCAGTAAAAAGTTTGTATTTGACGCGCAAAGAATGTTATTTACATTTACAGCACATCGTGCTTATTTCAGAAAATATTTTGGACGGTGGATCTTCAAGAATGTTGTTATTGTGGCGCTGAAAAGGCTGATATTCATTAAGAAGAGGCGCTTAAGCAAACCGTTTTGAAAAACGTATACTGGGGACTAAAGTGCATTGGGAGCCCTCTTGAGACCTTCACCTCCCCCAGTGTTGGCTTTAAAGAAATGCACAACATGCATGCATAGACACTCCATTCATTTAGCGCTGTGCGACACATCAGGCCCGAGCCGTCCCACTAAGGCGATCTGACCTCACACTGTTTGTGTTCTATTACTCGACATGTTACTGACTCTCTCTATATTATTCTTGGCAGCGCAACTAGAGTTTTTTAGACTCCGATGTTTTAGCGGTTTTATGTTTGCCTCCTTGAATTCCCAGTAAACATGTTGCGTAAAGGAGACGGCGGGCTGCAGTCAGCTGGTTTACACTACCTCTGCAGGAGGAAGGGAGCGCCGCTTATTGAGATGAGCAGCAGCTGTATTTGGGTCCACCCTTTTTCTTCAGAAGTGGCAATGTGTATTTGAGTTTGAGTGCATCCTTGTGTGTATGTGTGGGCGTACCTGCGTGAATATTTGTACCTTCCTCCCCTCCTCCCTGCTTTTGTCTCTGCTTTAACAGGCCTGTACAGTTCCAGTTAGCCACCTACAAAGCTCTGTGATGGGACCAGGCTGCTGCGTTCCCCTCGCCTCCAGCATTAACCCCTCACCTTAAAGCTTTATATCCCCTTACACAACACTCCCAAATATTGTTTCAACCTCTGTCCGGTAATTTTGGAAACTATGTGACCCGCCGTAACTTCTAAACCAGCCACTTGAAAAGCGGAAGTGAACGTGGCTCGCAGATTTCCTGCAATTCTGCCACCTCAATCTCCCGGTGACACCCGTTTGACCTAAAGACTCATGGAAACAGCATGTACCGGACTGCATGCAGAGAGAAAATGCACCAAGACGAGCAAATTCACACACGACCCATTCAGAGTGTGTGTTGGTGTGTGTGACTGTGGAGTTAAACATAAACAGGTGGGAGGAAATGGCATTTAGGACAACAATGTGCACTAAGCTGTGTGTGTGTGTGTGTGTGTGTGTGCGCGTGTGTGTGTGTGTATTGCCAGGTCACTGAGTTGCGCAGAATGGGCCTGGTGCTGTGATTGAAACCAGGGTCTGTTCCTGCCTGTCACATGTTTGGATACAAAAAGAGAATCTTATACCTCTGCACACACAACCACAACACACACACACACACACACACCAACCGTTACCACCTCCCTCCCCTGGCTCTGTCCCTTCTGCTCTGTTAGATAGCCACTCTTAGCTCCTCCAATTAAAGCTGTGTTCACTATCAGCCCAGCCAATCAGGAGCGTGGCGGATGTAAAGTGGCAGTGTCGGTCTCTCACCCACGCAGCGTAACACCTCCGGGCTGAGTGTCGTATGAGGTGTCAGTGACAGACAGGCGGTGTGTGAATACCACTGGTCACGTAGGAAACATACATGTCGCATCCAAGCTGCCCATAAACAACTTCATACAAAAGACACACAGAGAAGGGGGGGTCGGGGGGGGGGGGTTCTGACCTCCCTGCTATTCCCACTCTCTGTGCACTTTGTATGTATTAGTTGGTGATTAGTAATTTGTTTGTCTTGACTTGATTAAACACAAATTTACTGTAAAACCTACTCCTATCAAATTGTTTATTTCATCCAGTATATATATTATCTTCTAAAAAAAAAAAAACGTGTCTCTCTTGTTTACCAAAGTAGAAAATCTGAATTGTTGCCATAAAATGAACTGAACAATTGAAATGTGGAAAATCTAACCGATGTGTAGCACGTCCTTATTCAACTGTTTTAATATTTACATTTGTATGCACAATCTAAGCAGATTACAAAGAGCTTCTGAGCTCAAGGGGGCGACTCAGTGGACTCTTAAGGGATTTCATACATCCAGAGGACTTCTATAAAAACCAGATCAGGCGTCTATATTATATGACAAAAACAGAAATACAGAAATCCCCCTAGTGAGAAGATGATTGAGAAAATGTTATCAGGGCCCTTAATTAAGGGCCCCTCTACAAGACGGGGCCTCAAGATTAGGTAATAATGCAGGCGTTGCTTATCATAAGGTCCCTCTCATTGAACCTGGGTCTTACTTTCATTGTTTAGGCCACCATTTCTATCAGTAATCATAACATTGTACACAACAAGCAGTTTAATTTTTAATGGTTCGGATCTGGAGACGTGGTGACATCACTAAAAAGAAGTCAGACGGAGCGAGACACACGAGCAGTGACAGATTTTAGACAGGTTAGATTGACTGTATACCAAACTGTCGGTTGTAAGCAGCCACCACAGTTTCCAGACTGACTTTCGTGTTCAACTTTGTCCTGTTGTGCTTGCCGTAAGCTTAGTTTTTCTGCGCAGTGAGGGATTACTAGTGACAGGATGTGCTCCCTTTGTTTCACCTCCAAATACAGTGGTTCAGATAATCTGGATAAACTCCTGGTTAGTTTATAACCTGCCTGATCATCTGACTGCTCGTGTTTCTCGCTCCATCTGACTCCCTTTCCGTAATGTCGCTGTGTTCCCAGATCCCAGCTGCAAATTTGGTACACTGTACATTGTTATATCTTATATCTAATTAATAGCTTAATGATGGCCAAACACCCAAAATAAGACCCAAGTTGTAACAAACTGAAATTATCATTTAAAAGCACCATCCGTTTATCCCTCTTCCTTTTCTCGGTAATCTTGAGGTAATGCATACTGACAACACCCCCCCCCCCCCCCCCCCACCCCACTCCTCTCCTCTCTGCTCCTTTTACAGTAAACCATGGTAAGTTTCCTAAGCAGGAGGACTCTTACGCGTTTGAGGAGGACAGCAGCAGTGAGAGTCTGTCTCCAGAGCAGCACCACAGTGATGAGTCGCAGGGCTCGGCCTGCCCTTCATCTGAGGCTGTTGGCAGTACGCCCTCCTCCTCCTGCTCACCTGCCCTCACCAGCCCACGACAGGTAAAAAAAAAAAAATAACACTTTCGCCTGACAGCGTGGAGGTAAAAGAAGTCTGTTCCCCCAGAATTCCTTCTACCTCTGCTCTGTTGTCTTTCACTCTGACATTGCTGAGCCTCTAGCTGTTGTCACCACTGCTTTACTTCTCCTGCCCTCCTGTGGCGGCAGAGTGAACTGCGCCGCCATCCTCTGCTTCCTCTGTTTATCCGTCCTGACCGTTGGACTGAGTTGAACTAGGCAGGTGTCACATTCCTGCACGCCGAGCCATCCTGCCGGCACAGCTGTCTTTATTTCCTGACTGCTTACCTTTCACTCATGATGACCTCATTCCAACGGCCACCATCAGCAACGGTCACCAGATTGAAATTCCTCCGCTAGAATAGGATTGTTTATAACTGTTAGACCTCTGTCTCTGAAATGTTCCAACTGAATCGCAAACTCTCACTATTAATGTCAGTTGAAGATTCCTGTTTAGAGCTTTTTGGAATACTTTTGCAAATGAAACACATGTGCATGGGGTTTAATTATCCCATTTGGATTACAAACTGACTGTCTTGCGAGAAGTCCCCACGCCTCCTCAGATGCACTACATAATTCTGGAGGAGACACTGGTATTGCAGCAAGTTGAAGAAAACAGATACATTAAGACTAAAATTATAAAATCAGAGGCAACAATAACAAAAACATGTTACCAAGATAAAAAAATAAAAATCATTTGGTATACTTTAATTATATACTGTGACCTTATTGTTTAGTATTGTTTGGCACAAGGCATTTGTCAGTGGGAGGGGCTCACGATGTGCTTACTCATACAAAAATACAAAATCACAATAATAAAAATAAGATAAAATCAAACACAAATATACACAATATGAACAAAAACAATATAGACATATTGACAAATAGTGCAGTGAGCAGAGTGCAAAGGATGCAGGAGTATGTTCATGTCGGAGGAGGATGTGATATACAGGTACATATACACAGTGTAATGATAGTGCAAAGGATGCTGGAATAAATAAGTATAAGTATTTTGTGCAGGAGTAATGACTTGAAGTAGGTGGATTGGTATACAGTATCTACAATATGACAATATAATAGTATGAACAGCACTGAAATAGAGAATGGTGAATAAATAATAAGTGTTAGCCAGTAAACAGGTGCTGATTATAAACAGAGTTACTTGGTTATTGCACAGGAATTGTTCCTGACACTGTGAGTCAGAAATCAGCTGTTCATCAGAGTGATGGCTTGTGGAACAGAAGCTGGAACCGGTTGTGCCCGGGGTGAGATGGATCTGCAGTGATTCCTGCCCGTTTCCTGACTCTGGAAATTGGAATCTGGAAAGTCCTGAATGGAGGGCAGGTTGGCACCGATGATCTTTTCTGCAGTCCTGACAGTCCGTTGTAGTCTGTCTTTGTCCTTTTTGGTGGCAGATCCAAACAAGACAGTGATGGACGTGTAGAGGACAGACTGGATGATGGCTGTGTAAAAGTGGATCAGCAGGTCCTTAGGCTGGTTGAGCTTCCTGAGCTGATGCAGGAAGTACATCCTCTGCTGGGCCTTCTTGATGATGGTGGCCGCGTTGGGCTCCCACTTCAGGTCCTGGGATATAGTGGATCCCAGAAACCTGAAGTGGTGTAGAGGGAGAAGAGCAGTGGGGAGAGCACACACCCCTGGGGGGGCACCAGTGCTGATAGTCCGGGTGCTGGATGTGATGTTTCCCAGCCTCACCTGCTGACTCCTGTCAGTCAGGAAGTCCTGTGATCCACTGACAGGTGGAGGCTGGCACAGTGAGCTGGGTGAGTTTGGTGCTGAGGATGTCCGGGATGATGGTGTTGAACGCCGAGCTGAAGTCCACGAACAGGATCCTTGCATATGTCCCTGGAGAGTCGAGGTGTTGCAGGATGTGATGCAGACCCAAGTTGACAGCATCATCCACTGCCCTGTTAGCCCTGTAGGCAAACTGCAGGGGGTCCAGCAAGGGGCCTGTAATGTTCTTCAGGTGGGCCAACACCAGTCTTTCAAAGGATGTCATGACTACAGATGTCAGGGCGACGGGCCTGTAGTCATTTAGTCCAGAGATGGAGGGTTTTTTTGGGGACCGGAATGATTGTGGAGCGTTTGAAGCAGGAGGGAACTTCACACAGCTCCAGTGATCTGTTGAAGATGGGCCAGGAGCCTTCCTGATATTCCGGCTTTCGATGAGGTGGCTCACGTCCTCTTCACAGATCTTGAGTGCAGATGAGGGGTCAGAGAGGGGGGGTGGCAGTGTGTCAGAGGGGGAAGGTGACTGTTTGAAGATGGTGTTGGAGCGGGGGGAGAGGTGTGATGGTGGGCTTTTCAAACCTACAATAAAAGCCATTCAGCTCGTCTGCCAGTCGTCCCCCAGCAGTGTTGGGGGATGGTCTCCTGTAGTTGGTGAGTGTCCGCAGGCCTCTCCACACTGACGCAGGGTCGTTGGCTGCAAAGCTGTTATTTAGTTTTCAGCGTAGCATCTCTTTGCAGCTTTGATCTCTTTAGTCAGAGTGTTCCTGGCCTGGTTGTACAGGACTCTGTTCCCACTTCTGAAGGCCTCCTCTTTGGTCTGATGAAGCTGCCTGAGTTTTGCTGTGAACCGGGGTTTTTGGTTGTTGTATGTGCAGAAGGTTTTAGTCGGCACACACGTCCTCACAAAAACTGCTGTAAGATGTCACAGTGTCAGTTAGTTTGTCCAGGTCAGTGGCTACAGCCTCAAAAACAAAACAAAAAATTAAATCTTAATCTGCAAAATAATTAAAGCAGTCAGATAAATGTAGTGCAGTAAAAAGTACAATATTCCCCTGTTTTTATTCCCCTTATGCACATGTAAATATCTCTCACATTGCCCTTTCTCTGCAAATAATTGTATTATTTTCCTATATATATGTAGTGTGAAAATACAGTACTGTCAGAGTTAAGTAGGGTATTTGAAAAAATGTAATCAGTTACTTTGGCAAGCCACTGAATTTTCATCTAGCTCCACCATCAAGTCCAATATTTTTGTAGAACTGAAGACATTCCCAATCATCCTTAGTATTTAGTGCTAATTAGGAAATGTTAGCGATCTAACACGCTAAACCAAGATAGTGAAAATGGTAAACATTTACTTGTTATACATTAGCGTGTTAGCATTCTCACTGTTAGCATGCTGATGTTGGCATTCTGCTCACACAAGCAGAGCCTCGCAAAGCCGCTAACATAGCTCATTTCAGAAGCTGGTCTGTTAGTCTGGTTATGAATGGACATAGAGAGGACTATGCATATAAGTTGTAAGTTGTTTTTATTTGTGAACAGGGAGGTGCAGCCCGAGACGCACCTGATCAAAGCCAGGACGAAGGGCTCTCTGGTGCCAACAACAGCCAGGGTTCTCCCCCAATACCTGTTCCTGCTATTGCCAAGGTAGGCAACATTTAAAGAACATGCTTTTACTTTTCCCTTTACTTTTTGATTTAGTGACTCTCCTTGACTTTACACTTTATACTACATCTGCAAATGCCTAGTTATGACCAAAAGCATGCACGCTCATGCTATCTTGCTCTGAACAGTCCAAGACGTCAGACAAAAACCGACACAAGAAGCCTAAAGATGTGAAGCCAAAAGTGAAGAAGCTCAAGTACCACCAGTACATTCCTCCAGACCAGAAGGCAGAGAAATCCCCTCCGCCCATGGACTCGGCCTACGCCCGACTCCTCCAGCAGCAGCAGCTCTTCCTGCAGCTGCAGATCCTCAGCCAGCAGAAACACGCTCACGCACATCCACAGTCGCAGCAACACACACACACTCCACAGACACAGGCCCAGGCCCAGGCTCAGCAGCGGCAGCCTGCTTTCAGCTACCAGCCTCACCCATCCACCCAAACCCAGAAGTAAGTCACAATTGTGGAGAGAAATGATGGTGAATAAATCTGATTAAATCATCTTAACTCATGGTCCCATTACTGGCTTTTTCCAGGCCTTTTAACCAAATAATTTTTATGGTCTTCATCAGGGAATGGAGTTTGCTTCGGTCGATTGTAACTAAATGACAAGTGAGCAAACACCATTCACTGATGAAGCCTTTGCGATGCAGTTGAAAGCTCTAGAAAAAGCTGGTAAGTAAAAACTTGAGTGATTACTTTATCAAACTACTGTTCCCAAGGTCAAAGATTCACTTTCACACTCAAAGTAAATTAATACTTTAATTGTTTATGATTCAACGGATTTATTTATGGTTAATACATAATTTATTAATGCCACTTAGATCCATATTAGGCAATACTTAGTTTATTAGAAAGTTATAGAAACACATAATATTAATACACATTTAATACCCTTTATAAATGACTTCCTAATATTTATAACTGTAGACTTGAGGGCTTATTAGAAAGTTACAAATCTACCGGTATTAGTAAGTCATTAATAAAGGGTCATGGGTTTCTTCTAAAAAACAGTCAGCAAAACTTAGTAGGTAAAATGCATCTAAAATTGGTAATAAGTCCTTACAACAATCCAAATGAAATTTTTTGTTGTAAATGTCAATATATTTTGATAGATTTGATTTATTTTGTTACAGAAGCACTGTGTTAATATTAGCTTACTGGCCAAAATGCTTTAGCTGCATTTGCAAATATGCCTTGTAAACAGTGCTGCTTCATCCGTACACAGTATGTTGATGATGTTGAACAGTACCTGCACTGGCGTAGTTTTATGACGCAAGTTAGCTGAAAAAGCTAGCCAGCTAGGTCTTTTAAGGTACTTAAAAACCCTATATTGCTGAAATACTGGAGGAGGATAAAATGAAGCCAATAGGATTTTTTCACACTCTGGCAACCCAGAACTAGTTCTTGTTTATTGCTTAAAACTGATCTATAAAGCATTAGTAGAAGACGTATTAACCGTCTATTTATCTGTCTATTTATAGATAGACATTATTAGACAGTGGTATTAAGTTGCTGTATGTTTTACTATTGCTATTTTTACTTTACTATGTTGCTATCCACTTTAATTCTCCTGTTCTAGAGGAGCCAGTGAGCAGCTGTCAGCTTGTAGCTCCAGCGGTCCATCCAGCCAAACCAACAGTAACTCCTCCTCCCCGGTCAAGAATACATATAACAACCAAAGCAACATCTCACCGGTCAAACCTGGGCCCCTGCCAGCGAATCTAGATGACCTAAAAGTAGGTTTTACAAAGATACTAAAGTATAAGACAGTCTACTTGACTTAGATGTTGATATCTCTTTTTTGTTCTTTGTGCTATGTTAGGTATCAGAGCTCAGGCAGCACCTGCGTATTCGCGGCATGCCCGTCTCCGGCACCAAGACGGCCCTCATTGAGCGACTCCGACCCTTCAAGGACTCTAATGCTGGCTCCTCACCCTCGGGCTCCTCTGACATCACCACAGTGACCTTCCCTGTCACACCCACAGGGTCCCTGTCCTCATACCAGTCCCCTTCCTCCTCTAGCGCCCTGTCCCAGGGGGGTTACTACCCTTACCCCAGCACCTCCTCCACCCCTCCCATCTCTCCGGCCTCCTCGGAGCTGTCCCTCAGCGGCTCGCTCCCCGACAGCTTCAGCGACGTGCCCATGTCCTCACCAACACAGTTCACCCTGCAGCCATCTCCGGCCCAGCTCAGTGCGGAGGACGGCCTGGGAGGGGGCAGCCTGGGCGGTGGAGGTCCGAGGGTGGGGGAGGGCAGAAGTATGGATGGCGTAGAAGCTGAAAAAGATAAGATGCTCGTGGAAAAGCAGAAGGTGATTGAGGAGCTGACGTGGAAGCTGCACCAGGAGCAGAGACAGGTGTGTGACCATCAGCGTATCAGTACACAGTATTCGCTGTTCAGGTCATATAAATATAATATAAGTATTATTAATATTGATACCACATATTTATTTTACCTTTGTGCTGTCCTATGCTTGTTAGGTTGAAGAGCTGAAGATGCAGCTCCACAAGAGAAAACGCTGCTATGGAGCAACACAGGACACCATCCCTCCATCTCACCCCTCCATGCACCACCAGCAGACCCAAGCCATGATGGGCCAGCACTTCTTTGGGGTGACTATTAAGCAGGAGCCCATGTCTTTGTCCTCCAGCTGCCCGCTGTCCTCTCCCAAACAGCTCAAGAGCTCTCCCGGCAGCTGTATGGAGGATATGGGACACTGCAATAACTCCCTCTCCAATATGGGGGGCCCCAGCGGGCCACAATGTATGGACACAACCCCTTCCTCTGGCAGCCCCTCCACAATGTCTGCTTTCCTCAGTCCACAGTGCTCACCACAAGACTCCCCCATTGGAAAGCCTTCTAGTAGCCCCCAGCCTTCGTCTCCTAACAACCGCTACTTGTTATCACCTCCGTTGGGAAGAGACGGCTGCAGTCACCCCCACTCCCAGGGCAATAACAGAGCACGCAACATGCAGGTATGATGTATTTATGAACAAAAGGATCATTCTTAAATGTTCTGTGGGGAATTCAGATAATTTATCTAAAATAATAATAAGTGATATAAAAAAGTGGGTAAACTGTGACTAAAGGAGGTTCTTTTCTTAACAAGACTATCTACAGCCATGCTTCCGGCTGAGGTAGTGTTGCCTCACACAAAATAGCAAATAAAAATACAAAGCCTCAAACTAGCCCATTTTATCCAGGTGCTGGTCATATAATTAGAATATCATCAAAAAGTTGATTTATTTCAGTAATTCCATTCAAAAAGTGAAACTTGGATTATATTCATTCATTACACACAGACTGATATATTTCAAATGTTTATTTAATTTAATTGTGATGATTAAAACTGACAGCTAATGAAAATCCCAAATTCAGTATCTCAGAAAATTAGAATATTACTTAAGACCAATACAAATGTTGGCCAACTGAAAAGTATGAACATGAAAAGTATGAGCATGTACAGCACTCAATACTTAGTTGGGGCTCCTTTTGCCTGAATTACTGCAGCAATGCGGCGTGGCATGGAGTCGATCAGTCTGTGGCACTGCTCAGGTGTTATGAGAGCCCAGGTTGCTCTGATAGTGGCCTTCAGCTCTTCTGCATTGTTGGGTCTGGCGTATCGCATCTTCCTCTTCACAATACCCCATAGATTTTCTATAGGGTTAAGGTCAGGCGAGTTTGCTGGCCAATTAAGAACAGGGATACCGTGGTCCTTAAACCAGGTACTGGTAGCTTTGGCACTGTGTGCAGGTGCCAAGTCCTGTTGGAAAATGAAATCTGCATCTCCATAAAGTTGGTCAGCAGCAGGAAGCATGAAGTGCTGTAAAACTTCCTGGTAGACGGCTGCGTTGACCTTGGACCTCAGAAAACATAGTGGACCAACACCAGCAGATGACATGGCACCCCAAACCATCACTGACTGTGGAAACTTTACACTGGACACTGGATTCTGTGCCTCTCCTCTCTTCCTCCAGACTCTGGGACCTTGATTTCCAAAGGAAATGCAAAATTTACTTTCATCAGAGAACATAACTTTGGACCACTCAGCAGCAGTCCAGTCCTTTTTGTCTTTAGCCCAGGTGAGACGCTTCTGACGCTGTGTCTTGTTCAGGAGTGGCTTGACACAAGGAATGCGACAGCTGAAACACCATGTCTTGCATACGTCTGTGCGTGGTGGTTCTTGAAGCACTGACTCCAGCTGCAGTCCACTCTTTGTGAATCTCCCTCACATCTTTGAATGGGTTTTGTTTCACAATCCTCTCCAGGGTGCAGTTATCCCTATTGCTTGTACACTTTTTTCTACCACATCTTTTCCTTCCCTTCGCCTCTCTATTAATGGGCTTGGACACAGAGCTCTGTGAACAGCCAGCCTCTTTAGCAATGACCTTTTGTGTCTTGCCCTCCTTGTGCAAGGTGTCAATGGTCGTCTTTTGGACAGCTGTCAAGTCAGCAGCATGATTGTGTAGCCTACAGAACTAGACTGAGAGACCATTTAAAGGCCTTTGCAGGTGTTTTGGTTTAATTAGATGATGAGAGTGTGGCACCAGGTGTCTTCAATATTGAACCTTTTCACAATATTCAAATTTTCTGAAATACTGATTTTGGGATTTTCATTAGTTGTCAGTTATTAATTATCAAAATTAAAAGGAATGAACACTTGAAATATATCAGTCTGTGTGGAATGTATACATTATACAAGTTTCACTTTTTGAATGGAATTACTGAAATAAATAAACTTTTTGATGATATTCTAATTATATGACTAGCACCTGTATACTATAATGCAAACATGCAGCTTAGTTGCAAATATTCCTGCATATACCATTGTTATTTACATTACAGACATATCCGTAATGAGCTCTGGGTTTGCCCTGTGGTGCTGGGAAGAAGCCTCAGAGCCTCCCTGCTCTGCTCCAGGCTTCTGTTTCATTGGTATAATTGGGGGAACCCAAAAACCATGGTTTACAGTAGTGAAATATTATCTCCATCAGTTCGTTTGGGTTCAATTTTGAATTGTTGTGGAAACATTTTCCAAATGATCCCAAAAAGCCAAATGCAATTTTTATTGGCCGATCAAATAAAAAGCAGACCAATTGAGTGGAAGAACCAACAACCTGGTAATATTCTTGCGGCTCATGGCGTTGCTGTGAGTTGCTAACATAAGCATGCTCACATGTTAGCATGCTGATATTTAGCAGGTAATGTTAATGTTAATAATGTTTCCCATCTTAGTTTTGCAAATGTTAGCAGCCTTGAAACGCTGAATAGCTGAGGAGGATTCATATTTTAACCAGATGATGGTGCTAGAGGAAAAGTCAGCAGATCATCAAAGTCTTTCATCCATTGGAAAATATGAATGTGTGTACCAAATTTTATGGCATCCGTCTACTAATTGTCTAAATATTTCAGTCTACACCAAAGTGATGGACTGACCTACCAACTGACATTGCTAGCATGGCTAAAACTTATCTTTATCTTTTTATGTATAAATGTTGTTTTCTTTTATTTAACTTTGGCCAACTACAGATGCATCATAAGAATGGTGGCCAGGCGGTGAACTGTTCTTATCCTTGCGACCAAAGAGGCCTTCAGGGAGTCTTTCCCAACTCAACTGACTGTGGCCACAGCGGCTCAGCCAAGGCTGAGAACCAGAGTATGCAACCAAAGGTAAACATTATGTCAACATTAAGGGCATTTGCGGTGTTGTCGGTGTCATGTACTTCATCTGAATCACCTCACATTCACGTAACCGTTTTTCTCTTTTCTATTAATTTGTGTTCTGTCTCTGACTCTATATAATTGTCTTTTGTTTTGAGGTTTATTGTCACTCTTGTCATATCTCTGCTCTTTAAAACAGAGTTCATCTGTTTTCATCACATATTCCTTCACATGTTGGTGACTTTTCCTTTACAAAAACACAACGCCAACCCTGTTTTTGAAATGTTTAATGTGATGAGATTATCGATCACACAGGCCTGATTTATAGTTCATTATGCTTAAAAAAATATGTAATACACTTACATTTGGTAAGCTCCCCTATTCTAATTGGTGCGCTAATGTCACTTTTCACCTATTTCTCATATAGATGTCAGTATTGCCCTCTCCTCGGCATGTTGGCCAAAAGTGCCAGGTCTCTCCCCCTGCCTTCAGTAGCTCAGATTCAGATGCATCTGACTTAAGACAGCCCCCATGCTATGAGGATGCAGTCAAGCAGGTAAACTCAAATTCATGCTAAAATTCAGTAGATAATGGCTGGCCAGAGATTTTATTTTCCCTATCGGCGTTGCTGTAATTCCACTTTTCCATCTGTCTGCTCATTTTTGTCACTGTAAGTCCACCTGTACTGCACCTCTTTTATTCATCCATTTGCTTTGTTCACTGCACTAACTTTTCACCCTTTACCAAGTCTAAAGCAGATTGGTGTTTTCGTTGTACAAAACATTTTTGAAGGCAGATGTAACTCTTACTAGTTGAGCTAAAGCAGGAATAAATAAATGTTTTTTAGTTGGAAAGATAGGTACAAGAGCCCAACCAATGAATTGGCCTTACATTTTTTGGGCTTTAATATATATGAATGTGAAGAATTTAATGTGTAAACGGATTCTTCTTAGAATTTCTCTGTTGCCAATAAAAACGTGTAGACAAATTTCTATGTAAAGGAAGTTTTTTCTGGGAAAATCCAAAGGATGTGACGTAATGAATGCTCTTGAGTGCCTTCTCTTCCGCATCAACAGTGTGCAACACTAGCTATCGTTAGCTTAGAAATGGAGTCCACTAACATCAACAAGCAACCGGCACCAACCACAAGAGAGACCAACACAAAGTCAAAGCTAAAATTACTGCAAAGCATGTGAAATGTATTATGTGGTTTTAGCTGGCTGAATATTGCTAACGTTAGCTTGCTTCCTAACACTGAGGAATTGCTAGCTAACGTAGCAAAATACTGTCTTGATTGGATAAAGTCAACAAGTTCATCCAGACTCCTGGCTGATAGATTGGCTGGGCTGCTGTTTGCAGGTTGCTTTGTCAGCTGGTGCTGCAATGAGGCCGGTGCTGGATCCATACAGTGTGGTTGGGTTGCAACTGGCTGGCTATCCTTGGTTTGCTTGCTCGCTAATGTTATCGCAAGCAAAATATTATCTGAGTGCATAATCAAGGTGGGAATCTCTCTCACTCGCTCTCTTAGGTCAAAGTTGGGTTAGTTAAGCTCTTATCCTGGATCTTTTCTTTGGACAATCGCTTGCGGTGGCGCTTGTTCCGGCTGGTCTAGCAAGGTAGTCGGAAGATGCTGTGGGCGGTGATTGTCTCAAGGTCCACAGCACTCCAATACCTGCACTTCCTTTTCCAACGTTGATGAATATATTTCTGTTGCAAACTTATAACTAACAAATGCTTTCAACTAGCCAAGACCGATGCAAGGCAGGGGCGGCCAACTAGCTAACTGTAACGTAAACTAAGCTGGAATTGGGCTGCTGGCCGTGGCTTGGCTGCGGGGTGTGGGCCTGGCATTGGTGGATGGGATGATTTACAAACGGGAAGCTAGTCAGTATCATGGAGTCAATGGTCCAAATAAGATTTAGGAACATCACAGATGGTAACGTTATTCTAAATGTGATTGTAATTTATTTTCTAGTTTTCAGTGTTCATTTCAGCGTTCAGTGTGTCACGTCACTGGTGGGCTGATGCCCAGGATGATGCTCGCTGAAGCCTACAGAGTGCGAGTGCGAACAACAAAATGCTGACTGCAGTTCAGTTAACGGCCACATGTGTCATTAATAACAAGGGTTTTCTGAAAGTTACACAGCAAACCTTTAAGCTAGAAAACCTAGTTAAAGAGTTTCATCTCAACCAATAGACTGGTCTGTCTCCAAGAAAAGTTTGTACTACCAAAACTCTATTCTGCAAGTCTATGTAGACTGCTTGAAAGCTAATGTTTTTTTATATATAAAATCCTTTGATATAATTGGATTTCATTTTTAATTGTTAAAACGTTTTTCAGTTGATTAAAAACAATCTGTTTATTACTTTTATAGCAACTGACCAGAAGTCAGCAGATGGATGAACTCTTGGATGTACTCATAGAGAGTGGAGGTAAGATGAAATTCCATAAATAATATTAGCACAGCTAGCACTGCACATGCAAGATAGTTTAAAAACTACATATCACCAAGTGCATTGGTTTGAAGTCAGTCTTGCCCCACACAGTGGCATTAGATTCCAGTACCTGCTGTGACCCTCCCTCCTCTCCTCTTTCTCTTCAAGAGATGCCAGCTAACGCCAGAGAAGAGAGGGAGAGGTCCTCTGTAACCAAAGTTGTGCCTCACATTACTGTGTCCCCAGGGTGTCCCGGACTCCTCATCCCGAGGTTCCACAGACACTACGAACACCTGTCCCCCACCCAGCTCCCTTACGACCACTCGGCCAATCACATCACTGAGAGCCACCTCGAGACTCTGCTGGGAAGTCCAATTGGACGGGGCGGGGAGATGGCCCTTCTTAAAATGGCTACCGAGAACGGGGGGCAGGAAGATGAAGGGAACAGAGATGGCGAAGGGTACGGCAGCCCACACAATCACCACCACCACCCTCACCCTCCCCAACAGGACAAACTTCTGAACAACAGAGATCTAATGGACACTCCTCTGTCGGCCATCAGCGCCAAGGTGTCCGCCGTCCCTGAGGTGCAAGGGATGGTCAGCATGACTTTCAGCGAGACGCCGTGGGAGACCATGGAGTGGCTGGACCTGACGCCACCCAGCTCGGCCACAGCCTATAATGTTGCTCCACCCAGTGGGCCCAGCATCTTCAACACAGAGTTCCTGGATGTCACAGACATTAACTTGAACTCTGCCATGGACCTTCACCTGGAGCACTGGTGAAAGAAACGCCGCCACCAAGTGCTGGCTAGCAACATGCTGGCCATCAACACAAGACACCAGCTTGCGGACCACTCCTATCAGCTATGAACATACCAAAGAACTATTGAATTCTACCTTAACAGCTTCAGTCCAAGTGCCAGAATTTGCCTCTTGTTATAATACATTGGGAGGTGACATTAAGTAGGACATCAGAAGTTGAATTACATAAATATATTTTGACATATTTTCTCCACTTCACTGAAATGAGGGTCTCATGTTGTAATTATACCCAGAATCCAAAGAGTAGGTGCTTTTTGACATGATCTTTGTCCTTTTTGGACAACGATGCGCACAACTGCCATATAAGTATGACAGTGGACACACATTCTAGTTAATGGAAATACATGATTACAGTGCTTTATACCAACACTTTATGCAATATCAGTGTTATGCCACCTAGACTTGAAGACACATTTTGACAATCATTGTATATTTTCTGAGTCTATGTTTGTATTACTGGAAAAAAAGAAAGGAATTACAAGGTGAATTGGATTGCTTAGGAAGGCCATTTTGTAAATATCTGAACTATCTGTACTGACAGAGACAAGTTGACGTCTGCATATTTTGTCAGTGGTGTGGGAGAAGACACAAACCACAAATCAAGTGTATTATGTAATCAGTTCATCAATTGATGTAAATATGACCCAAATTATCTCACTGCGCACCTCTAGTTAAATACACATTTGCCACAGTTTGCTTGTGCCTAGAAAATCTGTGTAGAAATGGTTCTCATTCCTTTGACGGACTTTTTTTTAATAGCTTCTTTTTGGTATTTGGCATATTTATCCACAGAATGACATTATGGAGAGAAATGACTGTCTGAACATTTGGTCTTATCTGTTTTAATCAACAAACTTTATTTGCGACCGCTTTTTATTACAAATTTTATACACCAGTTTCCCCTTTACAATGTATTATTAATTTGCTATTCCCTGAAAGCTGTTGACAGATATTAAGATAGAAAGCGCCAACATAAGTTAGTGTTTCTTTACTTGCAAAATCAGACAAATGTTAATGAAAAATACAACTTCATCTCTATTTTTATTTTTTTTTTGTCCTTACAAATTTCACCCTTTCTATTCCCAGGCCAATCACAGTTATTTATTTCGTGTTATTATATTTATACTTTATCTTGTATTTATACTGACATTCCTTTCTAGATTGGGGCTCTTTGATTTACCAGATTTTCCAGTGCTGCCATGTGACCACAGACATTTCTTTGTAAATCAATTCTCTTACAAATGTGATACGAAGTGAAGGAACCACTTGGAAAAGCCATGTTTTCTTAAATCACTTTTCTTTAAAGAATCATATAAAGTGGAAATTTCCATTATTAGCACTTGTGAATAGGAAAATGTAATATATTCAGATCTTTACTGTGAATACTGCATTTTAACACAGCATAAACATGTATCAGAGCCAGCCTAGACACACTAATGAGAGACTAAATCACCTCTGTCTGTCACCAGCACCTCTAGTGCTCACTGATTAACACGTTATATCTTGTTTGTTTAATCCAGGACATAGCACAACTTCTTTTGACACTTTTTTTTTTTTTTTTGGATTAAACTAATTAAATATATAGTGTTAATTAGTGCGCTTTAACCCCCCAATAAAGCTCAACCTTGGACTGAGTCAGGCTATTAGTTTGCTTGTGTTAAGCGGGTCCTGGCTCCAGCTTCATATTTATCAGACATATATGACAGTTGATTTTCTCATCTGACTGTCAGCAAGAGAGATAATAGGTATACTTTCCAAAATGTCAAACCATTGTTAAGCCAGTGGTCAATACATTTCTTGCATTTAAAGTTATGTCCTCAGTAAACATGGGTCTCACTTTGTGTTCTGTTTAGACCAAATATTGCTTTTTTTCCTGTTACTTATTAAGTGTTGCACTTGTTAAATGGGTTGTATGGTTACATTTAGGCTTTAATAATGCCCATCTTGAATATATGACAAAGCGGATATTCTTTACCTTCTGTGTTCTGTTGTAAGAATATCTACTGGCCTTTTTTATCTGGTGGGTTTCAGTTTGCAATAATTTTCCCTAATTAAGATAAGAAAAAATCACATCTGACAGAAGCTTCCATGTTGCTTGGCCACTGACTAACAGTAAACAGTATTTGCTTGCTTCCCTGTATACTACAGAAAGAAGAGCAATAAACTTTATCACAGCAAAGTAATTTCTACCGTCCTTTTTATTTTTCATTATTTATTGTACTATTCACAAGAAGCACACAATACAGGCTTTTCAATTTTTCCATGGGAAATTTATTTGTAACCCTCAATAAAGATACAATATTCATTGCCCTTAATATTTTATAATCTAATATGAACAATCTAGTAAATTGCAATATATACAACATGTACCCTGGGGATTCATACTCCCCAGTGGTAATTTAGCTTCCTGGTAATGTATCCCATTAAATCTGAAGACAGTTTGCAGTGGAACAGCGCCGCCTTGTGTGTCAAATGAGACTGTGGGCTTTCTCAGGGGTATACACTATTTCACAATAAAGATAGGAATGGAATAAACAGAGCCGACAGTATTCTTCATTTGAATTATAGAGAGACTCATGTCTAGTTTACACTGCATATCCACCAACTTGCTTGTAATGTCTTATCCCCTAGTCGGTTTTTAAAGGAGTGACCCAAAACTCACCGACATGACGGTGGCCTGTTTTCAACATGGCTGACATCTGTAGAGGCCTAGGTCATAGAATTTTATATAAAATGTAAAAGGATACTCCAGTGAATATTACACTTTTATGTCAATTTATTAGTCATCAGGAGTACTGTTCAGCCTTTGAAAACAGTAGTATAATGTCTGCTGCAGCTCTGGAGGAGTTGTGTCAAGTCTGAGAAAATTTCGCTGATGATGTCATCAGGGTCATTCTTTTTGGTTTTGGAGCTTTCCCCATAGAGAGCCCAAATCACTCGCTTCTGCTTCCGGCACATGGGACCTTATTTCGGGAAAAATATGTACAGTAGTCAACGGCGAGAGACTTCTCTTTTTATCCCGTTAGAATTGAGCTCTGAATTACACATATGATATTGTTCAATTTAAAATATAATTTCACATGTCGAGAAAGTCGCAGTTTGTCGTAAAACAGTAAAGTTACATATAGTTTTGTGTGAAACCCATTCAATGAATTACATCTCTCACCTCGCACAATATACACTCACCTAAAGGATTATTAGGAACACCATACTAATACTGTGTTTGACCCCCTTTCGCCTTCAGAACTGCCTTAATTCTACGTGGCATTGATTCAACAAGGTGCTGAAAGCATTCTTTAGAAATGTTGGCCCATATTGATGGATAGGATCTTGCAGTTGATGGAGATTTGTGGGATGCACATCCAGGGCACCACATCCCAAAGATGCTCTATTGGGTTGAGATCTGGTGACTGTGGGGGCCATTTTAGTACAGTGAACTCATTGTCATGTTCAAGAAACCAATTTGAAATGATTGGAGCTTTGTGACATGGTGCATTATCCTGCTGGAAGTAGCCATCAGAGGATGGGTACATGGTGGCTATAAAGGGATGGACATGGTCAGAAACAATGCTCAGGTAGGCCGTGGCATTTAAACATGCCCAATTGGCACTAAGGGGCCTAAAGTGTGCCAAGAAAACATCCCCCACACCATTACACCACCACCACCAGCAGCCTGCACAGTGGTAACAAGGCATGATGGATCCATGTTCTCATTCTGTTTACGCCAAATTCTGACTCTACCATCTGAATGTCTCAACAAAAATCAAGACTCATCAGACCAGGCAACATTTCAGTCTTCAACTGTCCAATTTTGGTGAGCTCTTGCAAATTGTAGCCTCTTTTTCCTATTTGTAGTGGAGATGAGTGGTACCCGGTGGGGTCTTCTGCTGTTGTCGCCCATCCGCCTCAAGGTTGTGCGTGTTGTGGCTTCACAAATGCTTTGCTGCATACCTCGGTTGTAACTCGGTTGTTATTTCAGTCAAAGTTGCTCTTCTATCAGCTTGAATCAGTCGGCCCATTCTCCTCTGACCTCTAGCATCAACAAGGCATTTTCACCCACAAACTGCCGCATACTGGATGTTTTTCCATTTTCACACATTCTTTGTAAACCCTAGAAATGGTTGTGCGTGAAAATCCCAGTAACTGAGCAGATTGTGAAATACTCAGACCGGCCCGTCTGGCACCAACAACCATGCCGCGCTCAAAATTGCTTAAATCACCTTTCTTTCCCATTCTGACATTCAGTTTGGAGTTCAGGAGATTGTCTTGACCAGGACCACACCCCTAAATGCATTGAAGCAACTGCCATGTGATTGGTTGATTAGATAATTGCATTAATGAGAAATTGAACAGGTGTTCCTAATAATCCTTTAGGTGAGTGTACGTCAGCAACATGTTAACGCAGTATGCTAGCTAACTTTGCTTGGTTGTTGCTAGCTAGGTAAGTTAGCCATGTTCCACGCAGAAATATATCTCACCTGATGTGTTAAATCCAACGGCTCCTGGTCCTTTTATCACATCATCCTCTCATGTAAGTTTTTCGAGGTTAGCTCCAGTAACGTTAGCTTCAGTCAAGGAGAGAAAGTTATGTCATATACGCGACTTTTGGGTTTGAGGGCTGTTTGAGGGTTTGTAATTTGTATTTTTACAGTCTGATACCTCAGACGTTTTACAACAAATGGCGCCAATTTTTATTTTAAATTGACAAACATACGTAATTCACAATTTAAACGGGGTCAAAATATTTGTTGTCCCTTGCCATTGACTACTGTACAATATTTTTCTGAAATAACATCCCATGGTGGTCCACCGGAAGGGGAGGGACTTGGGCTCTCTATATGAAGGACTAAAAGTCAGGATGTCTCGGTTTCTGCTGCACCAGTTTTGACCATTGTTTTAATCTGTCTCTTCCAAGGCTCCCAACTTTATGAAAGTACAATACTAAAAATCACTGGAGTAGCCCTTTAACAACAGCAATCCTTTAATGTAATAAAACTAAATGTAACAAAGCATACAGTGGGAAAAAAAAAAAAAAACTGACAATGTCAGTCTTAAAATGTGTATTTCCCACACGAATCGAAAAGAGTAACAATAATTGCAATACTCCAACAGATAAAAGATCAAACTGAGATCTTGTATCATGTGACAAAGCTGACTTTAAGTTACTTTATACTTTTGGCTTATTATAATAAAATTACTTTACATTATTAGTATTTGCTATGTTAAAGGATAAGGCTAGCAATATTCAATGTTATATTAAACCTGCAGTCACCCCTTTCTGACAGTAAGAGCAATTACACCACGCTGTCGACACAAGGCATATGCGGAACGTCACCACAAATTTAAGAACTCTGGCATGTACACTGCGAGTACAGAGAGATTTACCTGAAGAGGATAGGCTTAATCAGCATTGCGTAAACTGGAATGGCAAGGGCTTGAATGTAACGGACGTTCATTTATATGCAAAAGTCCTGCACACTAGCTTTAATGGGATTTGTTGACAAAAAAACAAAAAACAAAAAGAATATACACCATGCCGTCCTAATCCTTTAAAGTAATTTATTACATTACAAGTCTTGTCCCAGTCTTGAGTGCCACCGCCCATACAGACAGTTTGGTTAAGTAGCTAACTCCAAGTTGTGTGATGTTTGTCCACCAACTGCTGACTGGCACACATGCCTTTCTGAGAGGGAACGTCAGCAGGTGGATCTCAATAGTCTCAAGTTGCGGCCCCCTTCACCTGTCCTGATACGTTAAACTGCAGTCTATCAGTACCGGTGGAGGAAGAGAGGTGAGGGAACGCGTTTTAGACTATGGAGATACATCCCGAAAGTAGTACAGTTTTTGGCGTGGGAAAAAAAATTCTATCAGTGCAAGCCAGAGAGACATGCCGAGTCACGGAGGAACATGCTGAGTCTATGGTGACCTTATGAGTCAAATAGCAGTAACTATGTGAGGAGTGATCCTCCTCCTCCCCTGAAAGTTGTGTGGTTGAAGTGGACATTATGTCATTTAGCAGCATTCATGGTGCAATTTTTTAGGAAACCTTTGCCAGGACCGTTCGCAAAGGTAGTTATTACTTTTTGCCTTTGTATGGCAGCATGGTGGATCTGTGATCTGTGTGGATGAGCGGTTTAGCTGTACAGTGATATGACAGGAGGCTAAGGAGCTTTAGGGCTTGTTCTCAAACTGAAACACACACACACACACACACACGAGGACATAATGTCCCAAAGTAACTTTACATCATGCAATGTAACATTGTTTAGTCCCAGTTTGTGCCTTGTTTGAGTCAGAGATAAACATCCATTTTTCTGAAAGATAAATTGCTGATCTTGGAAAAAACCCACATGGTTGTTTAACACCTGCTGCAGTTCAAATGGTATTTCTAGAATATTCACAAGACCTTCTGCCCACCTGGATCTAAAAAGATTCTTTTTTTAGCCCACTTCCTAAGTTGCAACTTCATTACCAAATCCGAACAAAGATGCTAATGATAGCCAGCAATTACATATTGCATTGCTTCCCTTTTGCAACGTAAGCCAAAATGGAAACATTTTACTATTAGGTAAAATTGTATATATTAATGTAATTTGATATGCCATTTCAAGGTTGGGTCTATAACTAGAAAAATATCCAGATCAGCAAGACTCCCACGCCAGCGAATCTTATCAAAACCATGTGAAATTAGAGAACAACATAGAATACCTTTCGGTAACAAGTTTCTCCCTATATTTTTTAAATGACAGATGTATGGATTATATTTCAGAAAATGAGATGCTCAGCTCTGTGATTCATAAGCATTGATAATATAAGACATAAAAAGGTACAAACTGGGGCCAATACTGGATGTGTATGTCCCAATCATAGGTCAAGGCAAACTTACAGATTGCATATTGGAGGGGGAAAAAATAAAAAAAACAAAAAGAGGAGAGAAAGAGACAAGTAAGTAAAGCCACTCTACCGAATCAATGAGCTGTCCAGAGACAAGCACTTTTGCATACTCATTTCATTTACCGTGAGGGAAGGTGCCCACAACAAACTGCTTGAAAAGTGTGTGTGTTTAGACAGTAGGTCTATTGGCATACATCTCTACATGTTAACAATGCAGAAGTGAACACACATAATGCATATATAGTCCACAATGTACACTTCAAAAGGTGGCTATTTTTGTTCATATGTCACGAGTGTCACTGTTCAACATTTTATTTGGTAGATTCTGCATTTGCCTACAACATATTCAATATGCATACTCTGTTCCTTTTTCCCCACCCTCACATAAAAAGACGCGTTTCATTTTACTAAGACAACGTTATGTCTTCAAGTTTTTCCTGGCTGAAGATGAGAACAGTTCAGATTTCACTGACTTTAAAATGAGGTGACGGGAGGTGGAAGGGTTTGCTTACCAGCGCTCATCTCTTTGCACCGGGCAATTTGAACTGAAGTTCCTTTGTTCTTTGGAACGTGTGAATAAACAGGTGATCCTACGTAAATCTGATGGACAAGATGTCAAGCGTGGAATCTTAAAGCTGACTGTCCCATCGACTACATATTGGGTGACCCCCCCCCCCCCAAACTCCCCAGTCTAACCCCATCAGTCCACATACATAGGAGAGATGGGAGAGGCAGGGATCTGATCCAGGATGCGACATACGTAACTGGCGACATCCACGTAGCGCTCTTCGTACATCAGAATGAAGGGATGTTTCTGCAGGAGAAAAAAAAAAAAAGAAACAATTTACAGTGAGCTTTTAGGTTCGATGAAAATTCCTTCAAGTAGTCATAGTTGTGGTTCCTAAAATAGCCAGCTAATTTAAAGCTAGTGTCCTAAATCCTCAAATGTGCGTTGAACTGGTTGCTAGGAGAATAAGATAAATACATGCATAGTATCTCACAAAAGTGAGTACACCCCTCACATTTTGTAAATATTTGAATATATCTTTTCACTTAGGGGTGTACTCACTTTTGTTGCCAGCTGTTTAGACATTAATGGCTGTGTGATGTGTCATTTTGAGGGGACAGCAGATTTACACTGCAAGCTGTACACTACTACAACTACTTTACATTGTAGCAAAGTATCTTTTCATGTGACAACACTGAAGAAATGACAGAGAGCCCAAGTCACTCGCTTCTTTTTCCGGCTCATAGGACCTTATTTCAGGAAAAATATGTACGGTAGTCAATGGCGAGAGACAACTTATCTTTTTATCCCGTAAGAATTGAGCCCTGAATTACACATATGATGTTGGTCAATTTAAAATATACTTTTGCAAGCCAAGAAAGTTGCCATTGACTACCGTTACCAATATTTTTCTGAAGTTCCCATGGTTGTCCACTGAAAGGGGAGGGCTCTCTATAATCAAATATTTACAAAAATCTGAGGGGTTTGCACACTTCTGTGAGATATTGTATTTGACATAAACACATATTTTAGAGGCAGTAAAAAAAACTCCTATTTGGCAGACTATATTAACCCTATTTTTATATATATCTATCTATATATCTATATCTATATCTATATCTATATCTATCTATCTATATATCTATATATATATCTATATATCTATATATCTATCTATCTATCTATCTAATCTATATATCTATATATCTATATATATCTATATATATATATATATATATATATATATCTATATCTATATCTATATCTATATCTATCTATCTATATCTATCTATATATCTATATCTATATATATATCTATATATCTATATCTATCTATCTATCTCTATATCTCTCTCTCCACTTGGGGGCAGCAGAAGAAACTGGAAACAACACCGACATCATATTTAAAGTTATGGTGAATTTACACATCCAGCAGACAGAGCAACATTAGCATTCATTTGAAGTCCTAATTCTGGTCACCTGACAAATGTTGGTCCAATATTCACTCTACATTTAGCTTCAATTTAGTCACTACCAACTCCTGAGGAAAGTATTTAGCTTGCTAGCAAATTGATAATGCAAGATGCTCCGCTAAGTTCATGTGTACATGGGATTTTTCAAAGATTCTCCATGCAAAACAGCTTCCCACAACTTCTGGAAAGAGGTCGATAGGTGTATGAGTTTGTGGGCAGAACAAAACAAATGAGTGAAAAGAGGCAAAAGGGGAACTGTAAAGGTAGGTGATAATTGTCAGTAGGTTTGTCACTATGGGCAACACATTTCACAGTCATTTGACTCATTGTTGGCATAAAACATATTTAGTTAGTGCAGCTTTAAAAAAGGTACAAACGTTAAGTCAAATTCATTAGTTAAGGAATTAATTTCTTTGCCAAATGCAATTTTGCTATTCACACACTGAAGAATTCATAATGTGTCATGAAAGTAAACTATGCCCAAATTATAGTATGTCCCACTCCTCTTGTTACAGTGTGTCTGACCAGCAGAGGCTTTGTTGCTCAGGGAACAGCTGAAGATTTTAGGCACCATGATCAGGAGCACATGTTTAACTAGTAACGTTCTGTATTTTACACAAACTGTTAAATCTCCATAATATACTCTGTAAGTAGACCAGGTTACTTTAAAATCTTTTTCAGAACCATGGACAGCACCATTAAGACACTCATGTCATGTTGTGTGCTTGATGTACTGATTTGTGGAGTGTGTGTAAAAACTAAAGAACGGTCCAAGAACTTACCAGAAGCTCCTTGTACTTTGGCCTTTTTGATTCATCCTTTGTAAGGCTGGACAGAAAAAGAACACGCACAAAAACAAATCGAACTCCATCAGCATAGGGGGACAAGTATTCAGTGGCAGACTGCCCAGCATTTTAAACTGCCATGATTAGACGCACTTAGAACCAATTACTGAACAGCTATGACCGACTAAACACCTCCATTTGTGTGTGGTCTCAAGAATTAAGCAAATTATTAAAAGTAAGACAAACATTTTCGATTGTTTTCTGTTCAAATTGACTGTAAATGTGCACTGACATTGTGAAATGGTAAAAGGTTAACTACACTCACTTTTAGTCAGGAGATCATTTCAGAAAAAGGTTTTCACTTTTAAAATCTTTTCAAATATGAAAACAAATAACTTCACTAAAGGGCTGCTTACTGTGTGTTTTTTTTTTTAAGCTTTAAAACAAAAGGTCTATAAGCAAACTGTGTTTGCTCAATTGTCATACAGTTTACTCCACTCCACACACTGGCCACATGAGGACTACTGAGCAGCTCCATCCACTAATAGAGACCCTGAGATGTAGTTGAAAGCTCTAGAAAAAGCTAGTAAGTGGATGTTGAGTTAAGCTGGGAACTTTCACACTCAGCTGTTTGAGAATGTTTTCACTAAAACAGGATGTTAAATTAAGTGGTTTATTTCACACACTGCAATACTACTGATGTTGTGTGTATGACTTAATGTAACGGTGCTTACCATAGGTTAACAAAGTTGATGAACTTGGGGGAGAACTGCCTCTCCTCCGAGTTGCTGAGCTGGGGAGGCTCACCTTTCACCACTTGTGTCAGCTGATCAAACACACTATTCCACTTTGGGTAAGGAAATCTTCCTGTGGCCAGCTCGTACTGAAAGCAAACAAACCAGGGACTTTGAAGGACCGGCAGACCTTATTGGCCCTACAGCCCTGTCAATTCAAATGTGTGCAGACATAACAAGAGGTCAGAGTTCACATTAAGCAGATGACAATATTTCTCTTACCAGGGTGATTCCTAAGCTCCACACATCAGACCGGACATCATAGCCTTGTCTGGAAGCACTGGGATCTATCCTTTCAGGCTGAAACACACACACACATTTTTTTGTCAGGGTCAAAATCTGAGCTGAGCCTCAAACCCGATTAAGATCCAACTTGTTCCTATGGGAGCTTGAGCCTAGTCCATTGCAGTGCTGTGGCTGGTTTTAGTTTGTTGAATTAAACACTCTGTAGTATTTGAATAACACCTTTCTATTCTTCTGACCATTCAAAACACTGTTACACAACATCACATCCATTACATAGATGTAACAACCATTGTGTGCAACCCGCTCCATCTCCTGAGCCATAGCTGCTAAATGGCATCAGACAATACTGTAAACAGCCTTTTATTCATTTGTGTTCAGTAAAATGTGAGCCAGGAAAGCTCGTCAGTTTTGAATGGCCGCACCTGCACGCCAACTCAGCAAGACACTGTTTCAGTTTATCTGTCTGACAGATTGACAGCTGTCAGTTGTTAAGTCACTGCTTTGGATCGCTTACCGCCATGTAAGGTCTGCAGCCTGCATCTCTGGTCTTGGCTATGGAGTCCACCAGCTGACCGCTGATGCCGAAATCACACAGCTTGATATTACCCCTTCGGTCCATTAGAATATTGGAAGGTTTGATGTCTAAAATGAATACAGAGTAGGAATAATAGAATTGATTCACATTTTTTCGAATGCAAATGCTGATATAAATGGTTTTGATACTGCCAACAGAATATTTTTTTGACATTAAAAAAAAAAAAACTTAATAGTATGAAAGAAATTCACCATCATTTTTATTTGTGTACAAAGGGACTGTGCGATTGTTAAATGCAATTAGATGGCTTGTACTCAATATTCCATATTTGACATGAATTTTAATTAATTTACATTTTACACACACACACACACACACTATTAAGTCTCACCTCTGTGAATTATTTTCAAGTTTTCTTTTAAGTGGTTCAGTGCTTTAACGGTCTGTTGAGGGCAAAATAAAAACATCACTTATGTTGTTTCGACAATACGCACGGTATGAAGTCAACATGCATAAAGACAAAGGGACTCATCTACTCACGGCTAATGTTATTTTGCCTAATATTTCCTCTGGAATGACATCATCTAATGAACAATATACATATTTGTAGAATTTGTCTAATGAGGTAGACATAAGTTCCATACAAATCCAACAGTCTCCCTGAAACAAAGAGTCAAAGGTTAGTTTTCCTCACATGTCTACAAAACCATCTGTCTGCTGATATGAGCATGATGAGGTACAAGCTCAGTGAGTTCTAGTCAGACCTCTCTGAAGAGAGCGCCGTAGAACTGAACAATGTAGGGACAGTCACTACTCCTCATCACCACGTCAAGGTCCATCAGCAGCTGCTTCTGCTCCTTCTCGTCCACTGTGGAGCGAATCCTCTGGGAGACACGGCAAAACAAGAACACATTTACAATTCTGACCAATTCCTACTTTCCAGTTTATTTCACTTTGTGCTACAGAGATATGAGAAGCTTATTTGTGTAAAAAACAGGAATGCAAATGAATTCAATTTTCTTTTATGTGTTGCTGTGGTTAGTTGACCAAAGCAGCAAACACACTGTGCCATCTTGCAGCTTCACTGCATGCTTTGCTCGCTATCAGAGCCAATGATGATAAGGGTCTAACTGGTCAATAATACCTTTGAAGACTAAGGAGATGGAGAACGCCAGGTGTAAATGTGAAGGCTTGTGGATCAGATGTCCAGATCAAGTATCCAGACAGAGACTCGCATGTTTGGTAAAACACTGTTTTCCACAGGTGATTGTCAAAATAACTTCCTCCTGGTGAGGGTTTGTCTGTTTGGCCCCTGCCACGACTTGCTACTGGTTTGTAGATGTGGTTAAGATTGTAGCAGATGATGGAAAGGCTCTCTATAGAGAGAGAGTTTTTTTTTTCTTTTTTTTTTTTTTTTTAAGAGTGAGTTCCCTATTTTTAAACCAGAAACAGTCGCTATATCGCTCTCAAAGCCACCAGACTCCCTTGAGGAAAAAAATAAAAATTTAAATTAAAAAATAAACGCGCGCAATTTCACCTCACAGAACACGGCAGTTGCTTGTCTACCGCTGCCTGGGTCGGTTAGTTTGCTTATGTGTTTGTGTGAATTTGGTCCTGAATCCTTTCCTTAATATTAATGTTTTCATACACCTATAATATTAATCTGAGCCCGTCAGTGCCAAACACAAGCACTTAAGTGGACGTACTTTGAGTGGATGCAATTCCCTGCGAGGATTACGTTGCAGCCATCTTTCGCTGCAGCCGACTGTAGCGCGCTCGCTCACTACTGGACCAATTTCAAAAGACTTTGTCCCAATTAGTCACATAGACACAAAAACATGGGAAAATAGGGTCCAGGTTGAAAAATACTTAAGTTACCCTTTGATTGGATTCTACAGATGTTTCTACAAACTACAGGTTGGACAGATTTTTCCCCTTTATTTTCCTTGCAGGTGCTTCCCATGAACAAAAGTACCGCAGAAATTCCATAACTTGGCTGAAGCAACAATTCTGCTTAGCGGCATGGCCTTAAAGGCAAAGGTAACGCCTTCTGTATTTTGAACTGATTTATTGTTGGTTTGGAAGAGTTAAACTCAGGTGATTGTGTTTATCAGCAGGTCACCTTGACAGCCATGATCTGGCCCGTGGGTTTGTGGACCATCTTGTTCACAGAGCCATACGCCCCGCGACCAATCTCCCCGAGGTCTCTCAGATCCTCTGCTGTAAAGTCACAATGCTGCTCCGGAGAGATCTTCAGCTTCCCCGACGACTCGATGCTGTGTGTCCGCAGACGCTCTCTGGGAGGAGCCCGGAGGACGGGATCGGATGGGATCAGACAGGATTGGACGAGGCAGCGTATGAAACAGTAGGAGGAAGAGGCCACAGGAAGGGGACGGAGCAGGAAGAGACAGCGTGGAGCCATGAGAGGAACATGCATTTTAGATTAATGTGGATATGATAAATATTTTATCAGCAGACCCCAAGCTTCTGTCAATCTGAACCATTTAAAAAAGGTCCCATGAGGTGACTTTCTAATCTGATCTTTCCTACGTCATTACACTCCTTGATGGGAGTGAAATATGAAAAGGGCTGGAGAGAGATAGCAAACTGGTCAATGACAGAAACTGTTGTGCATAAATGATGCTGCATTGGACATTTTTAAAACACCCCATTAAAAGGTTTTTGCTGCCCTCTAGTGGTTTAGCCGCGCAGTTCAACAGAGGGCATTTCTGATTTCTGATTCTTTGAGAGAGTGTGTTTTTGGTTCCAAAGAAGAGAGATCAGAACGAGTCATTTTTCTTGTAGAATGTTTAAGACCCATCGGCTACTCACATGTGAGGGTTCTGGAAAGACGGAGGCGTTGGATTGAGCGGGAGCCTGGAGGCCGGTTTCACTGGAGGGTTGGCGAAATTCAGCTTCAGAGCTTTACGTTTACCTGGCAGGACGAAGAGAGAAACAGATCCAGATTCCCACAACATGCACACCACACAGTGGGTTCAACCAGCCGGTGCCAACAGAGGACACACAGTGCGGCTTACCTCGGCAACTTCAGTCTCTACACGCTTGAGATAAGCCTTTGCATGTATGCAATGAGCAACTTTAACAAATTTGTGCCACAAAATATTCAGTGGCCCAAGTACAAGCAGATAATTGTGCTTTGTACAATTAAATCTGACTAATAAATCAGTAGAACAGTGAGGAGAAACAGGAGTTAAAGATCCAGTCCACTGTGAGCCGTTTTCATACATAGACTGACCTTAGGGTTATCTCAAGCTCTTCTCAAGATCAGATGAAGCACAAAAATCATTTTGACACAAGCCCAGTTCCCAGATGTTCAGGGGTTCCCAATACTCTGATACTACACCAGTTCTTTGAGCTGTATAAGGCATATTTTTGCCCAAATAATTTATATTTTAAGTTATTGGAATTGTTGTTCCTGCAACAGAGCCAAAGGGGGCCTTACTGCAGGATACTGATATTGGGAATCCCTGTCAAAAAAAAAAAAATAATAGAAGAAATTCTACTTACAACTTGCAAAAAAAAAACAAAAAAAACATTAAAAATATATAGTGCAATTCAAACCTGAAAAGTTCCCTTAAGATGGCAAAGTGACCCAACACTTAAATAGCACTTCTTTCCAATTTAAGACTGAATCAAGTCAACAGTGTCAGTAACATTAAGGGTATATTAGGATGCATCTCCAGAATATACATGGCAATTAGGCTAGCTTCTGTGCAACGTGCCGAGTGCAAGCGTTGAGTTGTCTTTGCTATGCCCCGTTCTTGCGTGCAACATATCCCTTTTTAACCTTTAAGCCCCGGTGCAAATGGATCGCTCTTGGCCATAACTGAATTTATGAACAGTGGACAGACTCCCCAACTACCAGAGCACCACACAGGCTGATTCAATAGTATACAGTGGCATCCTTTCACCTATGATATCCAATTAAATACGATGACAGACGCATCAAGAATCTGGAGCTCAATAGACCAGTTGGCATCAAACGATTGAACAGAAACAATGAAAGTCAGTGAGGAAAGGAAACCACTTTAGACTACTGAAGTGTACCCACAAAGAGTAGAGGTGTGCTTCGTGTGCGAGTCTATTGCTTACTTTGGGACACTCCAGACAGGTTTATCTGAAACCCTGAAGTAAAGAAAAACATTTTACTACATTTTCCTCGGGCTTGTTTTAGTGCGAGTGGGTCCTTATTCAGAAGTGCCATCCCAGCAAGAGCCTATGCTGAAAGTGAAACACAGGTCAGGTTACTCTGAATGGGCTTTGGCTGGTGAATGAATCACCATATTTTGGTGAAACTGGTTAAGTGCACTGCCATGCAACTGTACGTGTCACTTGATGAGGTTCCACTGCGTTCACAGTGGACTGAGGAACAGTACAATTTTAAACATGTTTAGTCAAAACTAGCCCAATAGCAGAATGTATTAAAATGACTTCGATGCTTTGGCTTCTTCTCCTGCAGTTTCAAATTCAATTTAGTACCTTTAGTGCATTATACAAAAATGAATGATGCCAACATTGAAAAGTGGCTGTGCTGCTGCTCTTCATCTGGCATATAGCACTTAGTATGTCAGTCACGTTCCACTGGCAAATACCTCTCCCCACCAGCATTTGATGATTCAATACTTGCATATATGCCACTGCTGACTATTGGTATCCTGTCGCTGTGCGCCACATGACAATGACATGCCACTCATGTTCCAGTGACAGGTAGCACGTTTCACTAGCAGATACCATGTCCAACTGGTGACTTAGTATCTACTTTTTGGACTCATAACATCAGAGGATTGGAGATTAGTAGTGCTATCTGTTTCACAATGACTTCATCTATACCTCGGCTTAAAAAGGGAGCATTGTACAGTGTTGCGTGTTCTTGCAAAACAGAACACAATTCTGATAGCCAGCTGCATGTTACTGAAGTTATGAACGTCATTCAGCTTAGCAGGGCTAGGCGTTGCTACATATTAGCCCTGTACAACTAACAGTATGCCTTGACAAAATTTGACCACTGACGCGAGCTGTATGCCAACAGCATTGTCACGTATGACGAATACCATTACCACAGCAGTGGAATATGTACCTAAGACTCATCTTATGCCAGTGAGCATATGCAATATACCATTTCTATATGTCATATGCCAGTCTTACAGCGGTGACATGCCAATAGCTGAAGTGGCATACCACTAAGTGCCGATGGAGAGGGGCAGCCATCTGTGGAACACCAGGGACCAGCTGTTTAGAAGTGACACATCAGTGACATACCATAATCAGCAGAGACATACGTCAGTAAGAATTGGTATATGGCAATGGGAAGTCGTATTCGCCAGTGGAACGTCACTGACATTCTGCCAAGCCAGCAGGACAGCAGCAGTGTGGACAGAATCACCCTGATGTCACACTAACGTCACTTCCAGGTGGACAACTGGCAGTTGATGTGAGATGTGGTGTAAAGATGTGTTCACTTCAGTTGTCATCTTTCCATGGCATTTCACTAAGAGTTGGCACTAAAACCACATTTTGATATCTGTGCCGCTAAGAAAAAAAACGCTCCTGGATGGGGTTGCGTGTAGTGTCTCAAACTAAGATCACTGTAATATGGAAACATGAATTAAAAACATGCAGCTAAGTGGATAAAAAAAGCCGGGGGAAAAAAATGTTTAACAAAAATTAAAAAATAAATAAATATATAAAATAGACATCAAATTTGGAAACAAACAGAAAATGACAGAAACTGTTGTGCATAAATATGATGCTGCATAGGACATTTTTAAAAACATCCCATTAAAAAGGTAGGGGGGAAAAAGGTAGGGGGGAAAAAAGGGGGGGGGGGGGGGGGGACAGGGGGCATTTCAAGGAATTAATTTGCCAAGATGTGTCCTAACCAAACAGTGTAAACAACAACAAAAAAACACCAACAGCAGACTGAAACCTAGTAAAGTAAGAGTGAATACCTGTTTCATTTTGACATCTCCAGCAGGTGTTGGTTTCTGTAAGGTTCAGATAAAACATTTGATACTAGACATCTGCCACAAAGTAAGAACATGCAACTCAGATCTGCTGACCACTGGACACATGGCTGCACTGCTCTGATTAGGTTAGGGTTGCTAAAAGTCAGTCAGTAAATGTCCATCCGTCCATCCATCCATTATCCAGAAGCTACCATCAACACGTCCATTATCGGACAAGACTCTGTGTGACTTGCTGTACGTCTTTGTCTTGTAAGATTTAGACAGCATTGCGTTCAAACGTTTATAAGTAACAAAATAAGATCCACATTCAGTTTGATCCCAAATTAGCGACAACGCAACAAACCACAGATTCATACACCTCAGCTGGCACCGGGTGGTCCTCTATGGTGATTTAACAGCAGACACTGCCATGGCTCATGGCATCTTATCGAAACATTTGTGAAGGATATATTGTCCAAGAGGCAAAAAACTGTTGTTGGCTTGCTGTAGGTTTAGGACCCAGCCAGGCTTGGCTTTCCGTCCGATAATGGGTTTAGAGTGTGGACTCGGGGGCTAACGTTAAGTTACACTGTTGTTTATTTCATGTTATCACATTATTTAAAAGGGCTGAAATCTCCGTGGCGTGTAGTCAAACGACTGAAGCAAAGCATATTAATCAACAAAGTTTTACGAATGTTGACATGGTGGATAATATACAATATCTATATTTAATTGTATTGTTTGGATCATTTATTTGCCATAGACAGCGGTGCGTTCAAACGGTGGCCTGGCTTTGAAGATTGAAACACTTCACTTGCAGGCCTTGATAGTAACGTTAATGTTCCTTTTAACTTAACGTTAGCAGCCTGGTGCAAGTAATGTCGGTGAATAGACATTCCCTGAACGCAGTGTCATACATTTTGGATTTAGAATTTGTTTCTAATGGAGGGTCATGTCAGACTCAATGAATGAAAACACTTCACTTTGCCTCTACAGGTCTGTAGGTTCAGCAGCTAAAAAGGGGCTAACCTGGTAGCCATGTAGTATCAGGCAGCTACTTCAAGCTAGGCAAAGAAAGCTAGAGCCTTAGCGGAAACGGCACAAGCCTTCAAAATAAAATTCTACAGCGCGACAAACTGTTAACAAGACTATCAAAAGGGTTGGATTAATTCACAGTGCGGATTTGATTGGTTTAATACTAAAACAATACTTGTAGATTAATATATTTTAATAATTAGATGTATTCTGTGTATCATGTCAACATTGAAACTTGTAATACTAGGGCCTGAATACTAACTTGACATGCCCAGTATCTGTCAACAACATGCCATAAATTAATTTAAGAGAAATTATGAGTGACCTTGCATGTAGGATTGGTAACCGTTAGTATTCCACCATCCTGGATAAATAGATCACTACATTTTCTAACAATACAGAATTATAAAATACCAGGTTAAGTTATAGCACTTAACAGAACCAGTCCATTTTACATTTACATTAGCAGAACAAGATAAAATTTTAAATGGAGCTTGTTCATGTATATGAACTTATCCAACAAAATGTGAACCAGTATGAAATGAACAAACGTGGGGTTGTTTTGAAAGTTATGACCGGAAAGTATGAATTATTCTGTCTGACTTTACCACGGTTTTTCTGCTTCTGGGAAGCTACAAGCTACCTTTTCCCACTAACTCCAGTGTCTTCAGTTGAAACTGAAAAATGATGGAATAAAAGCCACTGTCGCCTACCTTGCATGCTGCTGCTGTGCGTCTGCGGGTGGAAATGGTGCGACGCGGTTCCTACAATGCTGCTACTGTTGCTGGAGCTTGAGGAGTTGCTGTCAGGACTGGGAGTCGCCATTGTTGTGTTGGATTCCGGCAGCAGCGCTCAGGCTGCAATGCAGAGTGAAACTTCGCCCTCTCTGCCTCCAGAAGGGACGCTGATGTAGACTGTGTGTACAGCGCCACTGTGCTGCAGCTGCGCCACGGCCACGTCCGTGCCGCTGATGCCTTCAGGGCCTGTCGGAAAATACACCCAATCACGACTTGACAGCGATATATCATATTTCTGTCACTTATGCAAGTCAGCGCGCTCTGTACATAGTATACTCCACGTCCTACATTGTAAATACTGCCTGAACTCATTTCATTTTCATCTTGTGTGATTCAACAAAACAGTGGACACAATTAAATCTTCATTATTGCTGTTGTCATGGCACATTGTCCCTCCTGTTTCACAACTGTTTGTGTTGTTTGAATCACACAACGTAGCATATTCATTTTTTTATATTTCATTTACATTTCACAGCTGCATTCTTGTATTTATTGGATCATGTCAAAGCTAATCTAGTTTAGTGTTTAGCTTGAAAGTTCTTGGCCTTTGAAAAAGTTTGACAAAATAACTATGACAATGCCATATACAGCTACATATCACATGTCCATACTTATGTCGATAAAAACTGTGACATGCTGTTGAAAGTAAAAGCAAGGGGACCCTGAATGCATATTGTTTTTCTAGTATTATTATTCCCCATACCATCTCTTCCAACTTTTTTACATAGTCATTTTGTCATTATCTCAGTGTTTATTATGACTCTGTTTTATGATAATTAGCGCAATCACCTCATTTTCATCATATTGTCAACATTGGGGTTCATAACTTCAAGTGATATGTGTGTTAAATATAAAATAATAATATAAAACTCAAATTTACTTTACTTTATTTCAGATAGGACGCTTGTATCTACCAGCATAAGATTCCAGAGATGTGACATTTAGCTGGGCACAGAATTGCAACTGCTGCTGGTATGAAGAATTTTTTATCCATCAAATTGTTTTACATTGTAAATCATACTGATGTGCACCTGAAAACTGGGTATTATATACACTTATAGTTACAGTGCACTGATTAAATACTACAGTGCACAATACATTGCTCAGCAAATAATACTGAAAAAATCAGAATCAGCAAAAAGGCTGCAATTTTAATAACTTATTTAAATATGTGAAAATTATGTCATTGAACCTTCAGATTAAAACACAACACTTAAGGGTATTTGAGATACTGTATTTGTTCTGCTTTTCTCTTCCCGGATGGGAGATTGATGCATGGATATTATTTACTTGTTAAGTGACTCCTGTAAAATTCTCTCTCTCATTCAGAGAATGTTAAAAACATCCTCTAAATGTTCCAGTCCAGAACACACTTCTTTAAATCCCAAGATATCCCAAAAAGTTTGCCTTGACAGTTTCAGTAATCTTTAAATTCTAATTACAGCATGTGTCATATTGCCCCGTGATCTGCGCCACTTTGACGACACTCGATCTCTGATCCTCCTGCACCAGGCCTCAGCCTTCAGATCAAACTCAGACAGAAACCACATAAATAAGAGCTTGTTTTGTCCAAGATCTCGCTGAGCTCATGTGTTGGAGCAGGTACATCAGTGGTACTTGAGAGGCCAGTGAAAGCCCAGTGATACAGAGATCCCAATAACCACAGGAACACCGGCAGGCCGGCTGTGGCTTTTCTCCAGACATGTTCAGGCTCTGTTACTTCAACGTTCCAGCTCAGAGGCAGATCAACACCGGCGCCGTACCTTTCATACAGCGCAGCGAGCCGCATATTGGTTCAATACTCTCGGAAAAAAATATAGACAGACAGGAGACAGCTTCACACAACATGCTGGAAACTTAGGTAACTCACACTGCAACGTTACAGTAATATTTTCATCAGCTTGAGGTTGAACTAATCCATGCTGGTTCCACGATAACGTTGCATTTAGCTGACGTGATACATTGGCCTTAGCTTATGGAGGACCGATCCTGACACAGGCAGAAAAAATACAGAAATAAATAAATGCTCAATAAATAAATAAGCATCCAATTAAATACACAAAAAAAATAAGTAAATAAATAAATGTAGGTAGTAATTAAATTATACAAGGAGACATACATATTTTAATTAGTGCCTTTACTTATTCACCTTTGTTATAATTACCTTATTTATTTATTCTTCGTTAATCTTTAACTTTATTTACCGCTGCTTCCCCCTGCCAGCTCTCTCCGGTGGGGGCATTCGGGAGTCTCTGGGGCGCATGACCGGTGCTGTCGGGGTAGGTTTTGGTGCTCCTCCTTGGGGTGCTTGACTGGGAGGGCTGGGCCCCTGTCCGGGGATGAGATCGGCCTCGGGGGCTGCTGTCACTGGCTGCACTGTAGGGAGGGATGCCTCTGGCTGGGCTGGGGGACCGTTGGCCTGGTTCTCCCGCGTTTCTCCCTGGCGGTAGCGAGCTTCCCGGCACGGCTTTCTGCTGTTCTTCCTTGGGGCGGGGTACAGCTTCCCCCTGGACATGCGTCTGGGTCCTTTGCGCTTTGGGGGGTCGCAGGGTGTCCTGGCTTCTGGGGGTGGGGGTCTGCGGTGGGATTGTGGGGCGATTATCGATGCATCTTGATGTATTATACTTTTTCCCTGGGCAGGGTCTCTGGATGGCTGCTGGGCGTTTAGTTTGTGGCGTTGGAGTCCGGGGGGGCATCTCCTCATTGGCTTGGAGGGACCTGTTTGCGTTCCTGTTTTGCTTCGTTGGCCTCGGACCCTGCTTGCCCATTTCTCTGTCGGCCAGTTGTTGGACCCCTGGATACTGAGGTTTATAGTTAGTTTTCGGGATGTGCAGTGTGGTGCGGGGCAGGGCTGTGCTCGGTTTGTTCTGGGTTTGTGCCTGGAGTTCTCGGCCTTGATGGATGGGTGGGTTGTTGGTGGCATGCAGCTGAGCTAGTTGATTTGCCTCGTTGCTGGTTTGGCTGGTTGCATGGCGGCCGGGGGCGCGCTGGGCATGGGGGTGTCGGCTGGCGCCGGCGGCCTTAGTTTTTCCGGCGGTTGGGGGGACGGTGGACTTTTATTGGCGGTGCACGGTGACCTGTGCGGCGCGTTTGCTGCCGGGCTGGCTTGCTGCTGGTGCTCTCTCCGCTGGCTTTCGCTGTCGTGTTGTTCCGTTTGCTCTCTCTCATTTGCCCGACCTCGCACGCGGGATTCGCGGGGGGCTGCTGGGCATGGGTGTCGCTGTGCTCGCGCAGTGTGCGCGTTGGGCTCGTCACTTGTGCATTGGTGTTGATGATTGCGTGGCATTTGGGCATGTGGTTGTTTGCTGCGCGGCGGTGGGGTGCTGGATGGGGGAGGCCACTGGTCTATGTTGTGTCTGCGCCGCGGTCGGTCCGGGCGCTGCTCTTCCTCTTTTGCGTTCCGTCGGCATTACGTTGTCAACTGGCATTTGGGTCGGGGTCTTCTGCGTTTGCATCGCGGTGCATCTGGGAGTCTTTGTTTTTTTTTGATTTGATTTATTCTTTTTCTTTCTTCCACCCCTATTGGCTACTGGGGTTCTTGCCTGCCTGTTACAGTCGTGGCGTCCCACTCTCTCTAACAACTACATTCTTTAACAGGCTTATCGCACACACATGTACATACACACATACAGACACATTCACCCACACAGACCAAACAAACTTAGGTTGTCCCTGGTAGAATTATTCCTGATGCCTTTCTTTCAGTTACTTATTTAAATTAATTATTATTCCAGCTCTCGTGGCTGTGTTGTGTTGCTTATTTAGTGTGTGTGACTGTTTCTTGTTTTCATTGTTCTCTTAGTTTCTTAATAGTCATTAATATGTCAGCTGTTTATTGCTGCTGTTCGGCTGGTTTTCTTTTACTATTATTATTATTTTTATTGTTTTTTTTGTTGTGTTTGTTTGTTGTTGTTTTTCTCCTCCCCAAGCCCCCCTCTCTGTTCTCTTGCAGGTTCGTTGCTTTCTGCAATTGGTGTTTCCCACAGCTTTTCCCTGTTGTCCCCACCCTCCATCCCCCTTTCCCCTTCTCTTGCAGGTGTTGTCCTTTCTCTGTGCTGTCTGTTTGTGCCCCCCCATCCCCGTGTCTGCCCCCTGTCCGGCCCGGTGACAAATCAATACATAATTAAATAATAAAACAGACAAGGAGTTTTAATACTCTCTTGTTAAAGTAAATCTGTCTGGCACAATATGGTATCCAGGTCATTATACTCTATACCAGGCTGCTGGGCAGACAGGTTTAAAAAAAAAAAAAAAATCTTTAACTTTATTTATTAATTACTTATTTTTTAAATGTATTTATTTATGTGTGTGTTTTATATTTTTGTCTGTTTTATTATTCCTTTGTATTTTTTTACCTTATTTATTTTCACCCATGGTATTTATTTTGCCTGTCCTTTTACATTTCTGTATGCATTTCTGCCTCATTATGCAAATGAGGAGGGGCTGTGTCCAAGGGTCATCTTCTCTGCTATTGGTGGACCAGTCAGACAGGAGAGCTCCTACTCTGCCTGCAGACATCAACGATCTTGCCCCTCACACAGTCAGATGGCTTCCTTCAGTGCGCTGAGGTGTTTAACAACTCTGAAGACACTACCAGCCATGTCTTCCTTCTCTTTTCATGTGGACCTCGAGTATTTACGGTAAATGCTCCCACACGGAGCAGCGTTGCTCTGCTGTTTTCAGCTGCTGTTTCAACAAAACGCCATTCAGGGTGAAAATTCAACCGTGGTGTTGTGTCGGGAGATGCAGTGACTCACCAGCGGTCAGTATTATGAATAATACATGTAATCTGTTAAACTATGATGAAAAGTCCGTTAGCCATAGGCTATGTAGTGCTAACATCAAATAGGCTAAAGCTCTTGAGCTAGTGGTGGTAACTAACAAATAAACTATCTTAACAGTTACCATTAAGAAGATTTTATGCTTCTGTTAAATGTGATTGCTATTAAGCTGTGTTTTATGTGTGGTGGTCAAGTCAATTTAAAGTTAACTTTACTGCACTTCACCAGTCGAAATGATTTAATGAAGGCTAACGTTAGTTACTGTACTTCTATGTCTCACACAGAAAACACAGTAGGAGGCATGTGGAGAACAAAACCATATTCTTCCGAAGAAGAAGGAGGAGAAGG